AATTCATAAAATCATTGAAAAACCAATAAATCACTAAGTTCCGAATCAGACGTTGATATATAAGCCAAGAAGTCACATCATGTGGTATTACTGTAATACCAAATAGACCCTCACACACTAATATCTTTTTGAAATAATAATTAACAGAGAGTAAATGAGGAAAAGATCAGAAAAACGTGTTAAATTCATCACCAAATCTTTTATCAGTTTACCAGAATGATGAACAATGGTTATAACCATATTGGCAAACATAAATTCATAACATAGTCATAGATCTATAACAGTTGTGTAGTTTTAATGAAAACTGATCTTTTTGTATTTCTAATTTGAATCTCCCCATTGCTGTTTAGAACAGCAATCGGTCAGTCTGTTATTGGCATATGTGGATCATCTACGGATCGCCTCGATATTACTTCAAATTACTAGCATTATACTCAAGCTGGATTTCATTGGATTCCACCGCTAGCCACCATCCCTCTCTGCCTATAATGCTTGTGATTTGAGGCAATATTGAGGCGATCCGCACAAGATCCACATATGACAATAACACACTGCAGTCATAAACATCGATCGGAAGATTCAAGCAAACAATATCAAGTGAATTTAAAACTTCATCTCATTGCATAAGCTAACGACTACCTTGACTCAGTAGCTGAGTGGATAACGTGATGACGTTTGAAGCAAACTGTACTTGGCTCAAGTCCCGCAATGAACATAAACTCTGAGATGCCGGTAGGTCCAACTGGAGATCTCCAAATAGGATGAAACTCGCGTCCTCGATTACTGTAAGAATAGCTCGTTGGTAAACTCTAGGAAGCCTCAAGAAGGCCAGAAAGAGCCGAAGACATTCCATCCAATCACTACTGGGGGAATATTCTAGAATGTTGACGTGTAGTTTCTTCATTGGATGGATAAGAATGAGCCCCTATGTGCCTATTGGTTGTCCGAAATGACGATTTATTCTCAGTCGAAAACTATAAATATATGAGATTTCTGTACTATATTTTGACACTGTTTTGGGGAATAAAATTCCTTCTACATGTATTCTGTCTTCTGATTTGTGACTTGGGAAGGTTCTAGCGTTCGAGTGCTCAAGTATTGCGCTATAGACTAAGAAATCTAAGTTCGAGATATAACAATTCCACTGATAGCCGCCATTTATCTCGGCTTATCATTGGTCTCATTTTGAAATATGAGTATCTTACAATGTTTATATGTTGTTCCACCACTCATTAGACTAAAACTATCTTTCCCATTATGAACCTTTACGAATTCGATAAATCATTCTTGCAGAATCTTAAACTATGATTAAACATTTTTGTATATTACTTATTTAGTTAATATCAATTCATACTAAAAATAACTTTATAAAGGTAAGAGGTTTTAGTGAAAAATGAAAATAGTAACATTTTAAATTATTGTTCATACAACATTGAATAGAAAATGAAGAAAACAGTCAAACCAAGCACATTACAGTTAGAAAGGAACAGTTTATTCATCATTAAATAGTTAATGAAAGAACCAACAACAACAAAATAAATTACTTCTGGCAAACAAACAAAAATATACTACTTAAGTAGAGTTTACATATTTAATAAAAACATAAACAATTAAATATTGAACATTTCCAAGGATACAATAGATATGTGTGTATACTTCAAAGAACGAAAGAAAAGAAAAGATACACATCTATTGTTATTCATTTGGGGAGTAATACATTACTATAAATATAGTGAATAATCATTTTAAAAATAAAAAAAGGGAAAAAGGAACTTCAGTAAATCCAAATGAAATACAATCAGTTTACAATAACAATGTTAATTTAAAATGATTTCAAAACATAAATAGATGAATGAATGAAGTATGTTTTATTGCTTAAATTGATTTTTCAATCCAATTGTTTTATATACTATGAAAAAAGGGTTTTGTGGAGATTTAGTATTTTCATGGTTGAAGGCGTGAGTCAATTGAAGCTAGATCACCATGGAAAACCCGGAGGCACTGGACGGACGTTTCGTCCTATTGTGAAACTCCTCAGCAGTGCACATCCACGACCTCGCCTCGTGAGATTCGAACCCAGGATCTACCAGTCCCGCACCAGAGCACTTAACAGACAGACTCACGCTTGCAACTATGAAAATACTAAATTTTCACAAAACCCCTTCTGATAATAATAATCATATACTTACTAGTGACTGACTTCAAGAGGTAAATCCTGGAGTTCTAGTGAGAAGCAGTAACCGTTGGAGTTCAAACCACGTCTGTTGTGAGATAGGAACTCACTGAAGACAAGTGGTGAACGATCGCTCAATTTCGTAGACTATTTGGAGTTGGACATAAACACCATCTAATGCCAGCTCAATGACCTATCGGTTAAGTGCTCGTGTGCGAGACTGGTAGGTCCTGGGTTACAATCTCACGAGACGAGGTCGTGGATGTGCACTGCAGAGGAGTCCCGGGATGGGACGAAACGGCCGTCCAGTGCTTTCAGGTTTTCCTTAATGGTCTAGCTTCTTTTTTTAGTGCGTAAGTTTAAATAATAAAAAATTATTTCATTTACAATAACATACATCTTTTTCCTCTTTTTTAAGGTATAAAATGACCAGATTCCAGGGGAGGATGAAATCAAGAAGAAGCGCTGAAAGTGGATAGGACACACATTGAGGAAATCATCCAACTGCGTCACAAGGCAATCCCTCTCATGGAATCCTGAAGGTCAGAGGAGAAGAGGAAGACCAAAAAACACATTACGCTGAGAAATAGAGACAGACATGAGAAGAATGAATAAAAGTTGGATAGAACTAGAAAAGAAGGCTCAGGACAGAGTGGTTTGAAGGTAACTGGCGTAGGTAGGTAAGGTATTAAATGAATTTTGAGAACTGTTCTAATTTATAACTTTTCAAAGGATATGTACTTGTTGCCAATTTGAACGAAATGGTACATTAATATGAACTTTAGATCCAAAATATCTTAATAAATACAAGAAATTTAATTCATTTTTAAAGTGGACAATATATTTAAGCTTGTGATTATTCAGTGACAGATGTTTAATTCCATAAAGAACCCAAATCTTTCAACAGCAAACATATTTACCTTCCTGATGAGTTCCATTGACTGTGTGCATACAATACAACGTTTTCTATGTAATTAAACAAGTTTTTTTCATTTTTTTAGTAAAGTTATTTTCTATATTGAGCTTTAACCATCAGTTCCACAATCACGTTTCACCAAATATAAATGATGACTTTTGGAATGGAGTATGAAGAGATTATATGAGTTAAGAAATACTTGCTTAGTAATGCTGATGTTAAATAACGAAGAATTTCATGAACATCTGGTTTTGCAATATTACTATCATTCTATATTATATGTTACATTAGGAATGTAAAGATAAGACTGTTGTATTTCACTTGAAACTTTCAAGGAACTTGCAGCATATCTTATCGAAGGTCGACTCATTCTCCATGCTTATTTCACATAATAGCTGATGTGGAGTTTCATTAAAGTATATTAAATTAATGTAAGCACCAGGAAATGGAAACTATTTTGTAATATTTCAATCATCATTTAGCTTCATTATTTAGTCATTTTGAAAATTTAATCAGCTAGTATCTCATCAACAACACAGAAATAATTAACAAGAGAAAAGTACCACAAAACTATTTAGAATAGTCCCATTAGTTTCCCATTTAAAATTAGCTATTCTTTTATTTATACATTATCTGTCAGTATGTCACAAGTGTTAAAATTAGATTGTATTTTGTTTCATTCAACTGTAACATTTTTTAAATGGTTACGGATAGTTTAAACTATTTAAAACGTAGTTTATTTTAAATGATAAATATTGTTTTGTAACCTACTACCATTCTTGATTAGTTTGTTGTTGAAATTCACTTAGTATTGTTTGTTTAAATCTTCCTATTAATTTTTAGGACTGAAACTGGTCAGTCTCTTATTGCCATATGTGTATACTGTGCGTATTGCCTCGATATAGCTTTAATTCACAAGCATGGTAAAAAGAGGTGGATGGTGGCTAGCAGTGGAATCCAGGACGCGCGTTTCGTCCTATTTGGGACTCGTCAGTTGGATGTATCTGCATCTCAGGGTTGATGTTCACTCTGGTACTCGAACTCAGCATCGTTCGCTTCAAACGCTATCACGTTATCCACTCAGCTACTGAGTTCTGATAGCCACTTGCTTGCGCGATGGAATGAAGTTTGAATTCACTTAGTATTGTAGTTGCAGTCCTAAGCATCAATGGGAAGATTCAAACAAACAATACTCGATAAATTCATTCTATAGTTTTTTTCACATTCAATAAAGAAGTTATTACCCGAAAACTTTATATTAGCGATGTATAATAATTTTTTCTCATTTAACTTATTAAAATGCTATTACTATCATTCTTAAATATTATCTTTCTTATATGAGGCTAGTGCAATACCCTCCTTATTTTTTACCATATACATAATATTCCATTCTCATTATTACACATATTAAGAGAATTTCCATCTGTTCTTATATTGCCTAATACAAAATACATGCTTAAGGATATATTTTCTCATTACATACAAACAATACAAGATTCTATCACATTTTAGACTATCCAAATGAAGTTTAATGATTTCAATGACTCCTTTATTTTAAAAAAATCTTTCTAACAACTTTAAAATTGAAATTGAACTTTTTAGGATCAAACTCAATTATGATAGATCAATGATACAATCTAAAGGTTATTTAATGTCAACTTAAGGTGAATTTGGAACAATATATATATGTATTATCTATGTTTGGAACCTACTTACGATGAATAAATCAACAGGGTCATCAAGTGATTCTAAGTAATATATTCGTATCAAAACTATTTATTTTATTATTTGTTTTAATAGCATACATTTTATGGCGGCCATTTAAAATTATAACGGCTAAAGATAATTATTCTTTACATCGAAGTTATGATCAATAAACAGATGGTTGTATACTAGGCAAAAGTAAACCAGATGAGTAATAATAACAATAAAGAGGATATACTCGAAAGCACTGCTGATAATGTGAAAGGGGAAACGAAGGAAACAAACGTAATGCATGAAATGTTTAGTGGTTAGTTAAATTATTCACATTTAGATAACAAATATTAACATTATTTAGATAATTCAAGATCAAATCAAAGCAGCAGTTTAAATGAAAGTGAACTACGTACCACTAGTAGTAATACAGTTACTATAAGTTTTAGTGAAAGTGACAGCACAAGTTCATCTAGCAATCGTGGTGATCCTAATGACGGTGATGATAGTGATGAAACTGATTCAACTAGCTCCGATGATGATGAGGAGGAGGATGAGTCTGCTCAATCAAATCAAATTGCCGATTTTTCTGGTCAAGGTTTTACTACAGTACCATCAATAATCTTTCATCGTAAGTTAAGTTTTAATCAACCAGTTACGTTTTTACATTTTGTTACTTCAGACATTTATTTTAAGAAATTGTAATAGTTGAATTCATGAGTCGATTAAGACTAGACCACCATGGAAAACCTAAAAGCACTAGACAGCCGTCTCATCCTATTTTGGAATTCTTCAGAAGTGTGTATCCACGATTCCACATGCGGGACTCGAACTCAAGACTTTCTGTCTGGCACACTGCCGAGGAATCCTATACTCAGACAAAACGGTCGTCCAGTGCTTACAGGGCTTCTCTGGTGGTCTAGCTTAGATCAACTCATGAATCAACTATTATAATTACTAAAATCTTCACAAAATCCCCCATTCTAATTTACTTTAAGTGTTTAAAAGGTAGAATACTTTAATTAATGTTTTTCAAAACTATGTTATTCTAATGTTGACATTTTCAATGCAAAACTCCTGAATAGATTGTTGTTACATAGTTATTATTTTTAAAAGTACTTCATACACTTTTCTACAGAAAGACACTTTAAAGGTTAAACTGTTTAAACACATAAAGTCAGTAGGTTCAGGTTAATATTTTTATAAACTTCGTAATTTTTGAAGAAATTTTTAGGAACTTTATTGAGATAATTGTATACTCAATAAAATGAATAATTTTGGTAATACTTATTGTTTCATTTGAATCAATGACGAAATATAAGGAAACATGAATAGACATCAAAGAAAAACAAACTACAATCTTAGAAGCAAACGTTTTTCACAGTATATTCTCACTGACCACTAATTTTGAACGACCTAAAATGTTAATTCGTCTGCTCTAACAGAGGAAAGTCAATATAACGTACCTGACGAATTTAATATAAGTACACCCCTTGTTTTCGTTGGCTTCCCTAACTGATTTCAGTTCTTGAACTTACTTGTTCTTGACATGTAATAGAACAACACTCGGAGCCATTGAACATTGGCGGCCTGTTTAAACATCTGAACTACCTGTTCCTGTCATCTAGATATTTCAACAAGTTGTCTAATTTCGTTTGTTTTAATACATCATTATCCCTATTAATCGCACAACCTATTCAGGTGCGTTTCTGAAAGGTGTAAGACCTTTTGCTGTAAAGGTTACAGAAAGCTTAATCAGAGATATCGTGGTTGCTGGCAATATACAGCGAGAAGAATGTACATTATCCAGATGTCGATTGACTGGGCTGCTAAGTTCTAACTGGCGATCACTCAATATTTATCGTCAGGAAGGACGAAGAATTAAGAAACAGAAACTTGTTGAAGTACTTTGTGCTGAGAATTCTATATTGTACCAAAAATATTATACTGAATAAAGCTAATAATAATATTAATAATAATAATAAAAGCATAATACACTCAAATACAGTGTTTTAAGTCTATCTAACTATACTATCACTGGCATTAACTAAAGATTGAATAATCTAAATTACTACTCTGGATGTAGAAAGCTTATATTTATTTATAAGGGTATTAAGTCTTTATTGATGATTATTAAAAGTATATGCAGTTAGTTATCCCAATAAATTCAAATAATATGTATATGACAATCACAAAAATGCATCTGTAAGTCTACATGTTATTCGCAAACTTTTGAAGTACTATCAATGGTAATAGATCATTGTTCCACAATATATTAAAGAGATTATAATTAAAAAGCTAAACTACTGAATACCAGCTCAGAAATCTGAAAGTTAAGGTTTCATCATGATACCGTATAGTTTTGAGTTTCATTTCTGATCCTTACTACTGACGAGCTTTGTACTACAAAAAAAAGATGTTCAATGCCACCTGTTTTCTAAATAATATTTGGCTGAAATTAGTTTGTAGTATTCCTCTGAAAACACTGTAACTTCATTGTGAAGCAGAACACCGAAATAATTTCTTTTCAGTATCCTAATTATTTACAAGTATAAACTTGTTTTTAGTTGTCATGTGTAAGCTGTTATTCAAAGTAAATTATCAGTTCATTATTTTATAGAAAATTAAGTGTGAATAATTCGAAAGGTTAACTTTAACTATGCATTTTTGCCTTCACTGTTGATAATCCAAAAAATGTGTTTCTTTATTATACATTAGAACAACATATACGCAAAAGATATTATTTTCGATTAGATCTTCATCAGGCTTAACTCTAATATACAATAATATTCATATGCATATACAAAATTATTAAACTAATCAAGGTAGTTTATGAATCAACGATAACACTGAAATAGATTACATAATTAAACGTAATGAGTAAAAAGTACAAATTAATGGTGAGACGGTGGAGAAGATTTGTAGCTCATGTGGATGATTTTGATGGATTTTCGTTTACTGAGCTGGGTGGTTTAGTCTTGGAGCTTTCATCGTTTTTCTGAACGGCATCATCAGCAAAAACTTCAGGTAGGAGTAAATTGTTCGAATTTCTCCACAAATTAATAGTGTCATGACAGGTGTACTAGTTTTGATAAGAATGATAAAGGCTTGAATCAATGTATCATAATGGGAAATAGGTCAATGATTAGAAACTGAAATAACACTGATAAAAATTATAAGATAACGTAATAAGAAGTGTTCAGATAATTGAACCATAAAACGTATATTTGAGAAAAAAAGGGTGAAGGGGGGTGAAGAAAAATAGACGAAGAAGGAGTATGGAAAATAATAATAAATAAAATCATTTGTTAGGGCCAAGGGAGAAACGAAGTTGTTACAAATTTCTTATAAACACAAAGAATTTGATGGTTGGCTTGAATTACTATAGCTTCTGCTGTGTAAGAGATGGGATCGAATGTCATAAGGAAAACTAGTAGGAATACGATAAATAACTTTAAATGACTTATTTCTGTATACTACATGATCGCTATCAATCACGTGTGATAAAACCGAGCTGGGTATTGTCTTGACAGTACCTTTTTCTAACCACTAAGGAAGGTGTTCACTAGCTCTTTGGCTCAGTTGTATTGTAGTGCGCCCAATATAGCTTCCCTCACAGGAGCAGCTGAATTCGTAGATATACACATAAGTAACATTACCAGGTAACTTATCCTTCAGTTGAGGAATCACCATAGATCTGGTCAAGTACAATAGACAGAGTTTAGCTGCATTAAACGTTCTCTTCACTACTCTAGTCAGTCTATTACTTAGGACATCACTGTCTTTACATATTTAATTCCGAGAAAGAAAAAAACAACCAATATTGAATTTTTGAAAAAGATATCAATTAATCAGTCATTTTTTCTTAATTAATTCCATTTAAAATCAATTAAATTACTTTGTAATTATTATATCAATTAAATTATTTAATTTGTAAAACAATTAACTCGGCTTTTTTGGTGTTGTATAAAAGTGTAAAGGGATGTATACTAAGGTTTATTGTAGCCTTAGCCATACGAAAATTAATAACCCCTTAGTGTGTTCAAAAACACTTTATTCTCTCCTTAAACCTATCCTGGTAATATTAGCTTATTATCCAGAGTGAATAGGTGTCAAATTGTTTTCACATTTTTTACGTAGTTGAAATCATGAGTCAATTGGAGCTAGACAACCATGAAAAACCTGGAAGCACTATTGTGGGACTCCTCAGCAATGCGCATCCACGATCCCGCACTCGCGAGATTCGAACACAGGACCTACTAGTCTCGCGCCAGAGCACTTAACCGATAGACCACTGAGCCGGCATCCAACGGTGTTGATGTCCAATCTCAACCGATCCACAAAATTGCGCGACCAACTTCCATTGTAATGAGGCAGATACCTGACTCTACCTGGCATGGATTAGCTCCACTGGTCACGACTTCTCACTAGAACTCCAGGAATTACCTCATGGAGCCAGTCACTAGTAAGCATATGATCATTATCAGTAGAGGGTTTTGTGGAGATTTTAGTAATTTTTTATATAGTTGGATCATGAGTCAATTGAAGCTAGACGACATTATTATTATTATTATTATTATTATTATTATTATTATCCTTGTCTACTCTCATCCCCCGTTTCCAGTCTAGTTGACCTTTCATTTTTATATATAAATGGTCTTAACAATTAAATGTGTGATCAGATTGTTCGAAATGTATTGTGCTAATAATATCACATAGTTCTGATAATCAGAATCCAATATCATTATTATATTATTAATTCTAATAAATTATTTGGCTCATTTTCTTTATCATATATCTAAATGATAAATAACTTATAATAGAAATAAGATTATTCATATAATTCAGTTAAACAATCCTGTCAGAATCTTCCTATTTCTTGTTGTTCTTGTTGTTGTTGTTGCTGCTGCTGCTGAGTGTTTTGTTGCTTACCCTTGATTTTTGATCAGTTTACGCTTCACTTATAAAATAACTAATCATTTTAAGTAAAGAAATTGAATATATATGTTATAATGTTATAATTAGTAAATGGTTGATTGATTATTTCAAGTTTTTTTTTGTGTTGTATCGTTTTCTAGGTTATTCAACATTGTTACCTTTATAAGAACTCTCGTCTAAATTAGAACGAATAGTTTCACAGTATTTGAGCGCCGAGTTGAAGTAAGACATTAAATAGGAATAATATATTTATAAAATCTCAGCGAATGAATTTTTTAAATTAAATCCAACGTTTTGCCTGGCAATCTGGTCCAAGCTTTTTCAAGGATAATTTTTCAAAGATAATTCCTTGAAAAAGCTTGGACCAGATTGCCAGGCGAAACGTTGGATTTAATTTAAAAAATTCATTCGCTGAGATTTTACAAATATATTACTCCTATTTATTGTTACCTTTATGTTGTGTGTTTTTTTAGGGGAGTGGGGGATAAATTATTCTTTGTTTTACTTGTTATTTAGTAATATGAACTAAGTAAACCTCATTGAATGAAATGAAATAGTTAAATAATCTCATAAAAAATGAGAAAGCAAATTAGTCATTGACCTACTAGGAATATGATTAGTTGAACATCTTTTAAAGATGATAATGTTGTATTCAATTTTTCAAAGACCTTGACCGATAAAAATTTTAATTTTTTGTATTACTGAATGTGTTCATGAAAATCGATTGATTTTCAATGGTCGAAACAATTCTTTTCCTACCTTATGATACCTATGAAGTTAAATTTAATGTAAGCACATTCATATTACTTGAAATCTAAGACTTCTTATAATAGTAGTATTTCATGCTATTAATAAAGCAATGTATAAATGCGTTTCGTAATGGTAACATAATGTATTTACAGAGTTTAAATGGTTTGAATTATTTTCTCTGGTTAGCGTTTTTTAGCGAGTTAGTTTTTCTACGGGATAGGGTCGCAAACCCCATGCTCAACCCTCCTCCTTTACCCGGGCTTGGGACCGTCAGTAACTTTAGAAGAGCTACAGGCAGAGTTAAAGACTATATAAGTCAGTCTTATTTCAGCTACAGTCATTAGGTATATCTGAAGTGGACGAGGACACAGGTGAGGACAACCAACTGTATTTTAATACAAATTTACAGATTTTTGTAAAATATGAGAACCATACATTGAATGCTTCATCTGTAAATTTTTATCATTTCTCTTTCACATTCTGTATGATACTTTCAGTTCATAATTCCTTTCTCTTTTTTCTTTCTGTTCTCTTCAAATCGATCTTCATATACTTTTTTGCTACCAGGTTTTACACTTCTAATTGGCGTTACATAATACTTAAGTCTGTCGAAATACGTAGCATACACCACATATCAATCGAATCCAGATTAAAGTATCGTATCATAATTGTTGAAATAACTACGACTTAAAAATATACATTCTATGCCTGGGAAATCCGTGACATAAATCTTCCAAAAATTACAGTAAAACATACTCAGTACTACTAAGAAAATAAAAATGTTCATTAATGTTTATTAATACGTAATCAGACCCTATCTCTATTCAACCTGTTTATTTCACATGCATCTTTATTTTGACAGAAATCAATCAGGATATTCTAGCATTACATATATGTATTTGATTATTTTCATTTTACATGGACATTTCCAATTTACACTTTTACTTTTGCTTCTAATAAAAACACCTAATACTAGCTATTAATAACTCAAACTTACACATGCACATACACACACAATCATCATTCATTTGTCTATACAATGTGAACTTTTAAAATGATTCACATATAACCGACTTATGTTATTAACTAAAGTCCACATCTGAATATCATTGAATAAACACTGAATATACATTTGATTTAATTATATATTCTTTTATTATTTTAGTTTTACATAGTTGAAATCATGAGTCAATTGAAGCTAGATCATCATGGAAAACCTGAAAGCACTGGACGGCCGTTTTGTCCTATTGTGGGGTTCCTCAGCAGTGCGCATCCACAGTATACACATATACCAGTAAGAGACTGATCATTTGCAGTCCTAAAAATCAATGGAAAGATTCAAACAAACAATACTAAGTGAATTCACACTTCACCCCATCACACATGCAAATGGCTATCAGGACTAAGTAGCTGAATGGATAACGAGATGGCATTTGAAGCAAAAGGTACTGGGTTGGAGTCTCAGAGTGCACATTAACTCTGAGATGCGGGTACATCCAACTGACGAGTCCCAAATAAGACGAAACGCGCATTCTGGATTCCACTGCTAGCCACTATCCATCTTTGCTTATAATCTTCTTGCTTATTTGCATAGTTACCTACAAATGTCCTATTTAATATCAAATTTAAATGGTTGAAAAAATCACTTAACCAAATTGTATCAACGATAATTGTGTAGTTTGTAAATTGTTTATCTATTTTACACTAGACCACCCAATACAAATGAATTGATAATCCAATAAACTTATTCATACAAATTTAGTAACAAAATTATCTTTCTATTTGACTGATCAATTTCTATACATCCAATTATCATCCATTTAAAACAATCTAAGACAGTAAAGTTTATATATGAAAGTTGACAAATTATACTATCCTTTACCTTATATCTTATTACATATTGAAATAAGGGAATGTTCAAAACAACAGGATAATTCTTTTCGTTTTTATTTAAACTGTTACATAAAATGAATTATCTACCAAACAGATATAGTATAGTTATCTTGAACCAAAAACAGGCATAGATTTTATGCTTGACTAATATTATCAAAATGAGAGATCAAAAAACTAGATATATTTATATAACCAGACAAATTTTGTACCGTTTTATTGATAAAGTATCTTATACCTGCATCAATTCAAAACCACCTATATATGTTTATCAAAAAAAACTATTCTCTTAATAAAACGGCATAACTTTTCAGCTAGTATTGTATTTAAAGGATTAACTGTTGCTAGGCAACTAGTTTAAATAATGCACTTAAATATATCCAAAATAGTTTTAAAAATTGATACAATCATTAGGTTATATTGAGTTGGTGATAACTTTCGTCACGGATCAATATTTCTTGAGAGACTACTGAACACTAAAAGACTGTTTAGCGGTACACACTCATGATTCACATATAAGTTTGGACCCTAGACAATCAAGTTTCATTAGGTGTGCATTATTTCCGATAAAATTGTCAAGAGAAGGACGTTTAGTCGTTTAGTTCCCATTTTCACAATGGGAATCTTTAATATACCTATTTTAGTAAGGGGATTTGTGAAGATTGTAATATTTTTGCCAGTTGAATTCATGAGTCGATCTAAGGCATTTGGATTCAATCCATGTCAAATATGAGACAGTTATCCATCACAGACAATGGATGAAGCGTTCCGCAAGATCGTAGAACAATTGAAACTAGACATTAACACTGTTGGATACTGGTTCGGTGGTCTAGAGGTTAAGCGTTCTCGTGAGAGACTTGAGGTCATAGGTTCGAGTTCCGAGTGTGGGATCATGGATACGCACTGTTGAGGAGTCCCACAATAGGACTAAATGGCCGTCCAGTGATTCCAGGTTTTCCATGGTGGTCTAGCTTCAATTGACCCATGCTTTGAACTACGAAAATACATACACATTCATGGATCATCTAAAATTGAATTAAACATATTTTTCTGTTATTTATTTTTTTTGAATATTTTCCTTTCCTAATCTAACATAGCAACTAATTTTATTGTTTCATTCTTATTATTTTAGGAATAACAATCACCAAATTAAATTTATCTAATAATAATCTTAATTATTTACCATCAGAAATATGTGATATGATCAATTTACAATATTTAGATATAAGTCATAATAATCTACAAGGTTCTACTGAAGTACTTGGAATGAATTCTATTGATGGTATTCAAATGAAAAATACTAATGAATCCATTCATCGTAGTAACAAATCAGTTGATTTTTTAAATAATAATAATCATGATCATGCCAATGGAAAATTAGATCATGTACAATTACCAAAAGATATGAATCGTTTAATTAATTTAAAAACATTAAAATTGTCTTCATGTGATTTAAAATTCATTCCAAAAATTGTATTTCAAATTATTAGTTTAACTAAATTAGACATAAGTGAGAATTGGACAAATGAAATACCTACAGCAGTAAGTAAACTTTTATTATTATGATTATGATTATAAATATGCTGGATTTGTGAAGATTGCGGATGTGAAGTCGTGGATGCTCATTGTTGAGAAGTCCTATAATAGGATTAAATAGACGTTTAGTGCTTTCAGGTTTTCAATGGTAGTTTAGCTAAGATCAGTTCATGATTTTTAACATTTTAAAGTATTATTATCATTATCAGAAGGAGGTTTTGTGGAGATTTTAGTAATTTTATATAGTTGAGATCATGAGTCAATCGAGGCAAGACCACCATGGAAAACCTGGAGGCACTGGACGGGTTCGAATTGGTTCGAATCTGGCGAGACGGGATCGTGAATGCGCACTGCTGAGGAGTCCCACAGTAGGACGAAACGGTCGTCAAGTGCTTTCAGGTTTTCCATAGTGGTCTAGCTTCAATTGACTCATGATCTCAACTATATAATATTATTATCATTCTTGTCTATTTTATAAAGTCGCCTTCAAAAGTTCCGACCCACTAACGATTTAACAGACTAATTACATTATAATGGTCAGATATATAAAACAATCGTAAAATTATTCAAGTGTTGTATCCATTATCACTTCACTGAATAAATGCTATTTTTTTAAAATACAAAAATACAAATAAAATGCGATTTTCACTGGCCACTTTTAAAAGTTTGTTATTGAACTAATCACGTACTCTTAAAGATTCTATCTTTAGAATAATGAGCCTATTTGTAGATTATTTTGCCATTTTCAATTCATTGTTCTCAACTGACACCTAAATTAAAGTCTTATTATTTATTTTCTTGATTTGTAGAGACTAGTCAACGTACTAACATTAACTGTAGGTACTTTACAAGTGTTTCAACTTGATTTGCAACTTCATGCCAGTATGCAATGACGATCCCAACGTGAGATTAAAATCTAGAATACTGGTATCTCTGCTCAACAATACAAGACACCTGGACTGCTGGATTAGAAACCAATAAGTCTAAATTCCGAATTCAACTTAATTCGGGTAAAATACTACCAAAACTTCCTAAACTAAGCTTCTTGTGCTTTTGTCAATCGCTTTAAAGCGTAATATAAGTTTGTGATAAAAGCTTGTTGTTAACTTTAGCAAAACTGCAATATACACTTTAGATTGTTCTTATTTTATTGAGCATCTAGATAATGTTAATTTGTGTCTGAATAATGACGAATTCTCTGAATACATTTGTTTTGGTTAGCTTCAACGTTTACTCTAGCGCTGATAGACTATTTAGACTAATACCATACTCAATAATATATATAAAAACATTACATAATTTGTATACCATTTCATCTAATTTATCTGAAAACTATTCTTAATATACAAAAAAATAAACTTATTTCCTTCTATACATCCTATTCATACTAATTTCAGTGACTATTTATGATGACAAACATATTCATTGAAGTAAAACACCTTTCTTGCTATTGTCTAATATTAAATAGTTGAAAGCATTAGTCAATTGAAGCTAGACCACCAAGGAAAACCTGGAAGCACTGGACGGCCGTTTCGTCCAACCGTGGGACTCCTCAGCAACATGCATCCACAACCTCGCCTCGCGAGTTTCGAACCCATGACCTACCAGTCTCGCGCCGGAGCACTTAACCGATAGACCACTGAGCCGGCATCCGATGATGTTAATGCCTAACTTCAATCAATCCACGAAGTTGAGCAACCGTTCACCAATTGTCTTCAGTGGGTTCCTACTCCACAATAGGACGAAACGGCCGTTCAGTGCTTCCAGGTTTTCCATGGTGGTCTAACTTCAATTGACTCACGCTTTCAACTATACAAATACTAAATCTCCACGAAAAAACCCCCTTCTGATATTAATATTAAATAATAAATGAATAAATTATTTAAACAATTTCATAATCTTTAATAATAATAACCAATGTATTACTTCACTTAACTTTTATGCTGACAAATTAATACTTGACGACAACATAGATTATAACTTATTCCTAATTAATATTAACTAGTCAAGTTTTTTCTTCGTTTTTAGATTTTATTTGTTTCTTTTATTTTTTTGTTTTTTATTTCTTTTTTACTGATTTGTCAATAATGTATTCAGTACATTTCTGATTACCTTTCTTGTGTTATTTCATAATAATTTATAAATTAATTGAATTGAAACTTATCAAAAACCAATAATGATTATGCAAAGATGGATAGTGGCTAGCAGTGGAATCCAGAATGCGCGTTTCGTCTTATTTGGGACTCGTCAGCTAGATGTACCTGCATCTCAGAGTTGATGTTCACTCTGAGACTCCAACCCAGTACCTTTTGCTTCAAATGCCATCTCGTTATCCATTCAGCTACTTAGTCCTGATAGCCATTTGCATGTGTGATGGGGTGAAGTGTGAATTCACTTAGTATTGTTTGTTTGAATCTTTCCATTGATTTTTAGGACTTCAATTGATCAGTCTCTTATTGGTATATGTGCATACTGTGTGTATCGCCTCGATATAGCCACTGCTAGCCACTGTTCATCTTTGCTCAAAATGCTTGTGAATTAAAGCTATATCGAGACAATACGCACAGTATGCACATATACCAATAGGAGACTGATCAATTGAACCCTTAAAAATCAATGAGAAGATTCATACAAACAATACCAAGTGAATTCAATAATGTATAGTTGGAACAGTTTAATTAATCATCTTTTTGGAGATGATTTTGGTCACTGACTAATATTAGTTAAAAAAGAATTGAAAATAAAATAATATTGAATTAATCTTCAAAACTTACACAGTGGAATAATGACTAACTTTAAATAGAATGACTTAAATACAATTTATAAATAGTCGGAGTAAAGTGAATACGACCATAAACATTGGATGACCGTAAAGCAGATAAAATAAATTGACAACAGTTTAAAATTAAGATCATGGAATTCTTACTCATTAATTTAAAGAATACTGAAGTACCATAATTCCTGAAGTTTATCACTGCATTCCATCAATAGTTCAAGGATGAACAATGTTGTGGGGCTCAGAAATAGAATAAAACGTTTGCTTAGTACTCGTTGATTTCCAGTAGTTCTCTTGTTAGTGTTAGCCCTTAATGAAAACGGTTTACAAATAGAAGATAATAACATGAACAAACCTACTTCAATAAAGATCCTGTGTAAAAATTTATCATTTAACTAACTAAAATTTTCGTCACATCTTGAGAATTTACATAGATATTGTTGAGCTAGGAAATCTAGAAATTTGTAAATTTCCAAGGTTTATATTTAATTACATTTTGTAACCTTATGTTTTTAAAATCTCTCTATAGGTTCTCCATTAGATGGACATACTCCATATCAATTTTATGGTATTGTAATTTTATTGGTAATGTACGTCTCCTTATTAATACTGGGGGTGGTCATGTCAATAGAAGCTGACCACTTGGTTCTTTAGTATAGTGCATACGTAAATGATCGGATTATTGTTTTATGAGAGATATTTACTTTTGAACTGGATACATTTTATGACATCTTCAAATACTTGTCTAGTTGAGGTTACAAATTATTCCAATCTACATTTGAAATCTGAAATACGCTTGTGGATCTCTTGTTCCACTTCAGAGTTTGTTTATCTATGACTCACATTCACAGTCACCAACCTATTGACTTTCTTAAACTAATTATGATTCCTCTAACAACTGGATTTTAAATACTTAATAAACACAAAACTTTAATTTCTCTTCCATATACAGATAGGTAACTTGTTGGAGTTACGTTGTTTATTGGCTAAACGAATGGGACTAAGTACACTACCAATACAGATCATTAATTGCTCTAAATTACGTACAATAAATTTATATGGAAATGAAATAACGTCACTTCCGGATGAATTTTCAAGACTTTATAAATTAAAAGCCTTGCATTTAGATTACCGACATTTTATAAAAGCTTTAATTAAACCAAGGAAAGTTTCCAAAGTTAAAATGGTCAATTTTATTGACTCAACCGATGAAGCTGGCGATAATAATATTACAATAGAAGTAAATAAACCAAGAAAATCTATTGTAGCAGAAGAAACTGCAATTTCAATTGCTGAACGACTAGATACATTACTTCGTTCAGGTCAAATGAAATCATATCATATACCGGCTGCCATATTTAAACTACGAAGACTCACCGTAAGTTTCACAATTCCTTACTTTGAAGTAACTTTATTATATAACATGAGTAGGAATTAACAGTAGAATTCGCGATGAGCGCCATACTTCATTTTGGACTAATGAACTGTATTCAATTTTGCATAACAAATTAAGATATAAATGCATTATCCATCTCTTTAAATGTCATCAGCTAGACCACAGGGTTCCTATGCTAACCATTGGCCGATGTATGATCAACTTGTAAATGTAAACATTGCCGTTTCATCTATTCAACTGAGTCATAAAACAACAGCCACCTATCATTTCAATCTTTAATAACGTGTAAAAGCACACATAATCAGTGATGTCTTGATCATTCATATAGTGATTTATCGACACTTTTATTACCGCTGAATATTTTTGGCATCTAAGTAACTGCGTTTACTATATCGTTGATGGAAATAGTAATTTTTCCCCGTCATATTTTGACAGACTTATCAATTAGATATGTTTATATTTAACAAAACTCCTATCTTTGAGTTTGTGAAATTCATTGTTTTAGTCGTTGGGAAGAGCTCGAAGTTGTTTATATTAAACATTGATTTTCAAATCTCGTACAGTATTGTTATTTGATTGAACAGTTTATTAGCCTCTTAAATCCCATATTCAACGTCAGTGACTTCAAAGCTATTACGATCTTGAGATCCTGTACTGTTAGGTATGTTTCTTTCATTAGAATAGTACCATGTCTATACGGTTTCCAATTAGCGCCGATACACAAAACGATTTTCATAAATGAAATAACTGAATAGTCAAATAGTATTTCTAAAGAATTATTAATCTAAAGAAAGACAATTAGAAGATAAAAGTGTTCTATTAAATTTTATTATAGATTTTCAAACAAAATAGTCTACCATGAAATAAAAAGGTTTTACGTCATTAATGAAACTAACAAAAATTAACCAAGCATTTCAAGTGTTGAATATAACTTACGTAATAATTAGACACGAATTACTTATCAGATTGGGGTTTTGTGGATATTGTAGTAATTTTTAATAGCTGAATTTATGAGCTGATTAAAGCCAGACTACCATGGAAAACGTAGAAACACTGAATGGTCGTTAAGTCCTAGTATGTAACTCTTCAGCAGTGCGTATCCACGATGCTGCACGCGAGACTCGAACCCAGAAACTTCGGTCTCACGCACGAACGCTTAACCTCTAGACCACTGAACCGGTATCAAACAGTGTTAATGTCTAACTTCAACTAACCCACGATATTGCGCAACCGTCCACTATCATCTTCAATGAGAAATTACCTCTACAACAGACACGGCTGAACTCCACTGGTCACAGTTTCTCACTAAAACTCCAAGAAAAACACCTCATGAAGCCAGACACTAATAGAAATATTACTGATTGTTCACTTGATGGATATAGGAAAAATAAGTTGAAAATTGATAGACATTATTTCTTGATTCAAAACTTTATTATATTTTGACAAGACATAATGAACTTTACACATTTCCATTTTATCCAAAGCTAATATATGTAAAACTATCTAAAAGTAGATTGTATGGCTTTAATAAATACTGCTGTTTAAAGTAATGTTTTCTTCTTTGGACTGTCAGTATTTGAAATAATGATTTAATGGTTATCTTTCATTGCATTATACATCATTAGTATTTCGGATCCATTAAAATGATTGTAACATTGGCAAAATTTCCAAAACTTTCTTGGAAACAGCTACTTTTAAAGGTCAAAGCTAATATACATAGTTGTTTTTGTACTCTAATTGAATATATAGTTAACTGATATTAAAGACTGACGTCAATTGAAGAACTGTTGGTAATCAAGATAGACATTGTGCCCCACCACCGGACATTTAGGCACTTAACTCACTCATGAATCTACACTAGATCAAATTACTTAAATGTAACGTAAACGTTATTCTTAGGATTTAGTGGTTTTGTAGTGAACGAGAACACAAGAGCGGATAACCAAATGTATTTAAACATAAAATTACAGAATCTCTTAGTAAAATCTGAGAAGCGTACAATAAATTCTTTATTTGCGAAATGTCAATTAATCGTCCCAGACTTCAGTGTTCCTTCGTCTTCACATCAATCATTCACTGTTCTCGTTTTCTTTTCTTCTATCTTGACCATCTGCCACCAGATATTTCACTTTCGTTTGATGATACATAGTGTTTATATCTGTCGACATCATTAGCACACACCACAGTTTCATTATACAGTGCGATCACCACTTAATGTTATCATCAACCTGCTACTCCACTCCTGAATCGCTTCCTGTCCTAAATTATGGCTGATGCTAATTGGTGATGGAAACAATATTTGTCATAAACGAAAAACCGATTTTCAATTTTATCTTCCATAAACCTCGTAAATTGTCATTCTTTTTTTAATTTCAAATCCATAGGCATTACATCTTGATCGTTGTCAGTTAAACTTCATTCCAGAGAACTTAACACTTTTAAAGAGACTTCGTGAACTATATTTATCAAAAAATTATTTCAGAGAAATTCCACAAGGATTGTTTACATTACATAATACATTGGAATACTTAGATTTATCTGATAACAAATTGGATGATGAAGAAGATAAGTCAGTTTTATTGCCAAAAGATTTTGGAGCTAAGTTTCAAATGCTTAAAGTATTAAAATTGTCTTCAATGAATTTAACTTGTTTGCAAAATGGAGTACTATGTGGAATGATTGGATTAGAACTGTTAGATTTAAGCCGAAATAAAGTGAGTTAATTTTTTAAAAGTAATATGTATTACATTTCCGAAACATTATCAGATAATAATATGGTTTTGTCAAGAATTTCGGGGATTTTTAAAAGATATCGTTCGTGAAACCAGAGAATTTTCTAGTTAAAATTCATGACATATAATGAGTGTAGAGCAATTATTCACCTGAAACTGAAACTGAAATCATCAAATGTCGTGACTAACTATAATTCATGAAGTTTGAACTCATTGGTTTACATTTACCACACAGAATGTCCATCATTCAATATTACTAGGTTGGGTACTAGCTCCCCTCCTAGTGGACTGGATTTTGAAGTTACATTATTTTCATTGAAACTATGACAACTCCATTTTCAAGCTAGCCATATGGAATTTTATTCAAAATATGAAGAAATCAAGATTTTGAGATTGCTTGTGTTTTTTATCCCATATTTTTTGTATAATATTATTCACAGTGTAACAAAGCTTGTGTATCCATAATTCCTATGTGATCACGTATACCTGTCAGTATATATTCTCAAATAATTCATTATTATTTCCGTTCTTCTGTTTCAGCCAACTGTAAAAATACTAAACATTAGTTGGTATATTATTGATACATCGTTGACTGTTATTCAATCAAAACAATATATTTTCTAATTATCAAGTATATTCTATCTTTTTACTAAAGTGTTTTAGTGTATCCCCAATTCTAAGGCTCACTTGCATGTAGTGAGAATTCTCTGCTTCCATTTTGTAATATTGTATACTGTTAGATATTGAGAAATTATTCAGAATTATTGGTAAATATGAGCAAATGTGAGAACTATAAAAACATCACACTACTGTCAGCACCAGGAAAGGTTTTCAACAGAGTGTTGTTGAAGCGGATAAAAGACTCAGCAGACACCCAAATTCAAGATCAAAAGGCTGGATTCCGTAAGGATCCGTCATGCACAGACCACATTGAGACACAACGGATCATCATTGAACAATCAGTTCAGTGGGACTCGTCACTATACACCAACTCTACTGATTATGAGAAGGCATTTGACAATGTGGATAAGAGAACGTTATGGAAACTTCCTCGACACTGTATTGTACCTAAGATCGTCAACATCATCCAGAATACAAACGACGGACTACAAGCAAAGTCGTGCATGGAGAACAGCTGACAGACGCATTTCAAGTGAGGACCGGAGTCAAACAAGACTGCCAACTCTCTCCCTCTCCTTGCTTCTGGTGGTTGACTGGATTATGAAGACCTCCATATCTGATGGGAAGTACGTAACAAATGGACAGGTTCGATGCAACTAGATAATTTGGACTTGGTTGATGATCTGGCCCTTCTATCCCATACACATTAACAAATGCAGATGAAGACAACTAGCATAGCAGCAGTCTCTGCATCAGTTGGCCTCGACACACGAAAAGGAAAAATCAAGATCCTCAAATACAACACAGATTGCATCAACCAACCCACTCACACTTGATGGCGAAACTCTGGAAGATGTGGAAACATTCACGTACGTAGCAAACATCATCAATGAACGTGGACAATATGATGCAGATGTGAAGGCGAGGATTGGCAAAGCAAGGACAGCATTTAGTGACCCTCTTGTCTGACTCCGGTGAGATCTGACAAATGATAGTTATTGAGATATATTTGTCGCCTATCGTTTTATATTATTATCGATTTAGTCGCGTTGGCGAATGAAGGAATTAAATAAGCCGAATACGAGAATGGATTTTCAAATAAATATATTTTGTACACTCATTGGTCTGGTCAGGAAATGAGATGGATGAAGCGAATAGAAGAAAGCGAAGTGAAATGACGCGCGGTGGAGAAGGCGTGTGAGCCAACTCCACTTAACCAAGAGTTAATCAAGATTTATAGTTTTACAAAATTAAGATACAGACATATGATGAGTAGGATAAGATGTATCCACACATACGCCCATATAAAAACTGTCAGGGTTGATAAGTGAATAAATAACAAGGTCAAAACGTGACTCAGGAATAATGAATAAATTGGCCTCTCCAGAAGTTAGAATAAGTTATATGGCCTCAACATAGCAGCCGACACTGCAAGCATTCCTAAAGTTGAAAAACATATGGAACTCAAAACAATTGTCTGTCAACCAATATCAAATTCGTGATCTCCAATACGAACCTCAAGACAGTTCCACTGTACAAAGCTGGAACTAGGAGAGCTACTACAACCATCGTCAAAAAGAGGCAAGTATTTATAAACAATTGTCTATGTATGATATTATATTTCCGTTGACCGGATACCAACAGACATAGCCTACTATGGCAGAGAACGAACCAACTTCCAGCTTAGGAAATTAGAAAAGGACGTTGGAAGTGGATAGGACACACATTACGGAAAGGAACTGGATAAGAGAGAGGTCAAAGAACACACTGTGCCAGACATGAAAAGGATGAATATCAAGTGGAAAGGATTTTTCAGGACAGAGTTGTATGGAAAATGCTGGCGAGCGACCTTTGCCCCTCGACGAGGGGTAGCAGGCGTGAGTAAGTAGTAAGTAAGTTAGTAGATATATCATTGATGATGTTAGTGTTTAATCACTTTGGAATTATACGTTATTTGTGCTTGTCTTCTGATGGTTTGATGTTTCCATATATTATATGACACTTGTTGCAATTACTACTGGATTATGAATTACTCGGAAACGCTGATAAATATAAAAATGAATAGTTCCTTTTAAATGACTCAACTGATTCACAGATTTTACTTAATTTCAAACGATATAGCTCGATATTAACTTGATAAAAGTTTATTCCTATTTAGCAGTTTACTAAAATTTACAAATTTCTATTCTGATTTGTACTGTTTGCCTATAGATAAGTCAATTACCTGATGATATAAATAGCTTGATTAGTCTTGAAGAACTATTTCTCTCTGAAAATAAGCTTACATCCTTGCCAAATACAATATGTCAACTGAAAGAACTTAGAACACTTGATGTAAGCTATAATCAGTTATCAGGATTACCTGGAGATTTATATTTACTCAAAAATATTCAGACATCTCACTTGTATAAAGGATTGAATAAATCTGGTCTTTGGCTTCAGGGTAATCCATTAACCAGTATACCACAAAGTGTATGGAAAACAATAGATACTAAACATTTATGGAAATATTTAGAGGTAAGTGAACAAAAAGCTTTACCAGCTCAATATTATGTGGTTATTTTCAAAATGGTTGCTTTTTTAAATGTTTAAAAGCAAATACATTTTGAGTTAGAATATAGTTTAACATTCAATAGAAACATATATGAACGATAATACCTGCAAAGGGAAATGATTTACCTTAAATTGACGAAAGAAGTGGATAACTTACCATGAGTTAAAAAATGTATGTTCAAATTGTTCTGTTAAGATACAATAAAACAGTATTAGTTTAAAACAATTTAAAACCACCTGGTATTGTTTAGGACTGACGAGTCCCAGATAGGATGAAACGCGAGTCTTGGATTCCACTGCTAGCCGCCATCTATCTTTGCTTATAAACAATTTAAAAGCAGTTTTATTTCTTACTTTTACATTTATTATTAATCTTTTTGACATGGTGATTTACAGTGAACTAATTTCAACTATTCTGAAAAGACACTAAGCGAAAAAATAACTTATATACCGCACCTGCTTCAGTTTGGGCACCCGGGCAGTATCATAGCCCTCACACAAATCAAATGAGATTTGTGTGGTGCATATGTATCTGGTGCCACTTTGTACCAATATTTATGTGTTTAAATATATAAATAAAATTTGTTATCAATAGAATGACTATTGAAAGTTTCAATAAAAAGAGAAATATGTAAATTAGTAGTCAACTGAATATATGAAATACTGATTAGTACTGATTAGAATAATAGTGATAATCTGTGTTGGTACATTCGTTTTCATGTATGAACAATTGTATCACTTTAAATTTTTATAAATGATAAGGGATTAAATACGCCTACTAGGTTTGTGATACCGTCTTCTTGAAAAGAACGCAAGAAAATAAATTTGATTAATTGATATCTTTTTTCTAGTAATATATATAATGGATTACTCAAACATTTTGTAAATCTTTATAAGCAAAGATGGACCGTGGCTAGCAGTGGAATCCAGGATGCGCGTTTCGTCCTATCTTGGACTCGTCAGCTAGATGTGCAAGCATCTCACAGTTGATGTGCACTCTGGGACTCCAACTCAGTACCTTTTGCTTCAAACGCCATCGCGTTGTCCACTCAGCTACTGAGTCCTGATAGCCATTCGCTTGTGCAATGAGGTGAATTTTGAATTCACTTGGTATTGTTTGTTTGAGTGCTTGTGAATTGAGGCTATATCGAGGCAATGAGCACAGTATGCACATATGCCTATAAGAGACTGATCAATTGCAGTCTTAAACATCAATGGTAAGATTCAAACAGACGATACTAAGTGAATTTTGTAGATCTATTCTCCAGCTGTTCGAATATTACGATGAACTTTTCTAAATTTAAACTGACAATTATGAATAATCGCTGCAAGTACTCACACAATTTTATGCAAAATAAACAACCTATTACAATGCTAAATACTGAAATTTAAAAAAAACACTTTGGTTGTCGGCATATTTTTCTTCTCTTAAATTTGGAGAAAGGTGCAAGGACTAAGTTGAAATGCATGCATCCAATATATCATGCACTGAACATGCTGACTATGAGTGAAATATACTGACTATTATAATATTATAGTTGTGATATATGCTACTTATGTCGACAGATATAATTAGTACGTAACACCAGTCGGAAGTGGAAACTCCTTCAGCAAAAGACTAAGAAGATCATATTGGAAGAGAATAGGATGGAAAAAACAAAGAAATTGCAAAGAGGAAGAATTATAGAGAATATGAAGGACAAACGATAGAAATTCGCCAATTAAGTATTAATGTATGTTTTCCATATTTTACCAAGATATTCTGTGATTTTGTATTAAAACACAACTGATCATCCGCACTACGCTCACGTTCATTAAATAGTGAAGAGACAGAGTTGATCTGAAAATTGTTATGAATTAGCCCTATTCATTTCAAACAGTTTAATCATGTACAGTGCAAATACATCACAAACCTTAGACTAACTCTATCTGTTTATTAAACTATTAAAATTTGTCAAAAAGAGTAATTGTTTCTTCAGTTTTAACCATAAAAATGAATCAGACATTTTTTTAGAATATTTAACATTTAAATGTATCAGAAGGGGTCTTTGTGGAGATATAGTATTTGCATAGTTGAAAGCGTGAGTCAATTGAAGCTAGACCATCAAGGAAAACCTGGAAGCACTGAACGACCGTTTCGTCCCATCGTGGGACTCCTCAGCAACATGCATCCACAACCTCACCTAGCGAGATTCAAACCCAGGACCTACCAGTCTCGCGCCATTGCACTTAACCGATAGACCACTGAGCCGGCATCCGATGGTGATAATGTCTAGCTTCAACCTATCCACAAAGTTGAGTAGCCGTTCATTGATGAACAGAATCACTCATTGGAAACAAATAAACCAGAAAACCTATCGGAAAAACCATCGGATGCCGGCTCTGTGATCTGTCGGTTAAGTGCTCTGGCGCGAAACTGGCAAGTCGTGGGTTCGAATCTCGCGAGGCGAGATCGTGAATGCGCACTGCTGAGGAGTCCCGCTATGGGACGAAACTGTCGTTCAGTGCTCCCAGGTTTTCCTTGGTGGTCTAGCTTCAATTGATTCATCCTTTCAACTATTTAAATGTATGTTGAAAAGAGATTACTGCAATACTGAATTATTAGTTCTGATAACTTTTAACATTAATAAAACGAATACTATTATCAAATAAACCTATTACTACTATTACCTAATTCTTAAATGACATTTCAATGATTTGAGAGTAATGAATCAATTAAGATAAATTTGATCTATTAATTGTTAATCAGTTTTATTATTACTATCATGTATGATCATCATTGTATTACTTTTATTAGGATCAAAAATTAAAAAAACTATCTAGTACCAAACCAACTAAAATTTTTATAATTGGTGATAAATTCTCTGGAAAATCAACATTAATCAAATATTTAATGAAAGAAGGTTCAATCAATACAAGTACACAGATTAGTCTACCTTCACAACTTGAACATTTTTCAATTGACTATAAATCCATGATTCAAAATATTCCAAATAATGTTGAATTACCATTAGAATGGTCACCAATATTAATCAATCATTGTTCTTCACCAAATGGATTTAAAGTGATATTTTATGAAATTACATTACCTCAATTATGTGATCTAGATCATAGTCATTCTTCTTTATGTAATCAACATTCTGGATTAGAATTAATTTTACCACACCTTTTGGATAGTAACAGTTTTTATATTTTGCTTTTCAATACAAATTTATTAATCGAAAATTTCCAACAAACAGTTAATAGTATATGTTTTCATTTACTCAAATTGATAATTTATGCACCTGGTTCGATTATTAAATTGGTAGGAACACATTGTGATCAAATTGATCCATATAAGTCTTTTCTACAAGACTCTATCAATGCTAATGAGATCATTGATGAACAAAATCACTCATTAGAAACAAATAAATCAGAAAACCCATTGATAACTATTAAAAACAATGAATCAGATAACAATATAAGGAGTACTAAAAGCGGTGTTTTTAACGCACTTCAAAAACATATAATAAATACCATTGAACGTTTATCGAAATGCACTGAATCATTTAATTTGCCTAATCTGTACAAACATGAAGCAAATAATAAAATAACAGTTTTACAGAATATCTCTTTTGTTAATCTTTCTCTGCCATTATCTAAACATCCTATTACCTCTTCTCCCAAAAATAAAGTACATGTTGCAAATCAACCATACTTGATCGATATTATCAACGTAGACGAACTGTGGAGTGAAATTGAACACCGAATAAATTATACTTGTCAGACATCAAACAGAGATTGTTTCATTCCTAAATCATGGTATTCTTTAATCGTTTATGTACGAGATAAACTGAAACCATATTTTATGGTAAAACTTGACTTACGATCAGAACAAAACAATGAAGACTGCTCATCATCTAAAATTGGAAATAACCAGTTAACTTTGGACAAAACATTTTTTGACGAGATGAAAATTGATAACATTGAGGATTGTTTAAATTACTATCATTCGATCGGTCAATTTCTCTATTTTCCAAAGCATAAGTATTTAAAGGATTATTTAATTTTACATCCAACAGTATTTCTTACTATCATTAATGGTATAATAAATCCACAAATCATAACTTCCGCCTACTATGATATGAGCAACAGTAATAAAAGTTTATACCTTAGATGGTACTTAAGTGCAATATCTGGTTATTCAAATGAAAGTTTGAAAGAATACTTCAGCTCATGGGATCATCATAAATCGATTCCGTATCAATTGATACGTTGTCTACTTCCTCCATTTGGATATCGTACGTGTAAATCAATTCCATCCAATAAACCTCACCAACAAATAATACAACAACGGCGTTTGCTTCCAAGTAAACAAAATCATCACTTAGATGTACCTTCACATCACCAAGTAAGCAGGTTCGCTATGAGGTCTTCAGTTAAATCGAAATCTCCTATAAATTTGTCAAAACAAGTTGAAACTGAGAAAGATTATTTCAATCTATCAGTTAGTTCAGTTAGTGAACCAAAGTTATCACTTAATAGTGTTTTACTACTGACAGATCTATTGGAAGCCGGATTTAAAATTCACAATTTGATTTTAGTTAATGAACATTTGAAAAATGTACAGTTAAACAATCCTAAACCTTATATAATATATCCTTGTATATTTTCTGATAATAATTCAATGGAATTTTTATATAGTAATACAACAAATTGTATAGATTTGACCACACAATATAAAATAAAAGAAAATGAATGTATACGTGAAATATGGTTTCCATTAGGTCGACCTATGGGTTATTTTAATCGACTTTCAGTTAGCTTATGCAAAGTAATATGTGATCAAACAAAATACATTGAATTTTGTGGTTCGATCCCAGATTTAAAGTATACAGAAAAGTTTATATTAAATGATTCGATGGTTAAACATAATACATTCATTGTTGCATACGACCATATCAAAATTATATTGGAAGAAGTAACTGTTAATGGAAGCCTGTTTTCTCTATCCGAATGTGACATCCTATATGGAATTAGATGTATACAACAAACTAAACAAAAATCTATACCTAATGACAATGTACAGCCGAACGATATTGCTTTTAATCCATTTCAATGGTTTACTGAAACATGTAACAAGTTAAATAATGAAGCCCAAGGCATTGTTTGGTTTTGGTCTAAATAATCCACCTTTCATGATTAGTTGATAACTAATCCCAAATAAAATGAATTGAATGAATTTGTGAAGTTAATTAATTATAACAATCAAATTTCATGGCGATGATTTATTAATATTCTGAAGATGGTTAATTTCAAGCTAAACAATAAATTTAGTCACCGCACTAACGAAACTTAAAAGTTGAAGATGGTTTATGAAAAAACTTTCGAATAATTTAGAACGTGCGGATTCTGTTACATGACATATTTTACTTCAAATTACATGCCACTTTTACTAACTAATTTAAATGCATTTTGTAAAGAAAAACTGCTGTTAATCCCAGTTCCAGTAACACGATTCAAAGTACTTCATTCTGACACTGGCTTTTGTCGTTAAAACTATTTGTATTTGATAAAAACAGCGAGCTTTTTGATTTAATAAATTTCACCAATTTTTCTCTTAAGCCGTTCTCATTCTACTCTGTTCACCATCTCATCATATATACATTAGGCCTGTAAGATCCTAAGTGCTCTACACAAAATAGAAAAATGTGACAAATCAACTTAACCTTCTGTTACTTGATGTAACATTATTCACATGTGGCCTGACGCCTGACAATCCACTGATATCTGTTGGTCACCTTTTTTACAGACATGCTCATATTGTATTATTTTCTTTTCGTCAGATTTACTTTAATTAATCATGTACATTAGTATCCTAATATGCCTACATACTCATAAAAATTATAGCCTACTTCAAATTAAATACTGTTCGTTTTTAACAGTTGTGGTTGGTATGTACTTCCAAATGATTACAATGTAAGTAATTCGTCAAATATATTATGATGATGAATAAAGAGGCCATAAGAGTAGAAGTGATAGAAGTCGTTAGTAGATGAAGATAAGATAATCACTACTAAGCGATTTTTATACACTTTCGTGGATCATTTACAAGTTTTATGAACACAAGACGAGAGTTTGCTGTAAGATTTCATATCTCGCTCTAAGAATTCTTTATGATTATCAAACGCTTAGTATTAAATCATAGTAAAAGAACGACATTGATTACCAATTACAAACTGATCGATGTGAACGGTTTATATTACTCCAGTTTAATTAATATTAAAGCCCCATTTTAGCTGTCATGAAATTCACAGTATTAAATCGAAACTTCTTTCCTTTTCTATTTCCGCTTCCATATGATAAAATGAAATAAATATTCAAAATGTACACCGTCGACAATCCACATATGTTAATCACTACATAATAGACAAACCAATAACCTATTTGGCGAGAAGCATACCAAACAAAAGCCATCACATACAACTAAAAAATTCCCACTCTTCACAGTTAAGGTTTCAGATGCATTCCTTAACTTTTCCGGATTCAGGAAAGTACTATCATATGAATACGAAAATACGATATTGTAAGTCCGGTCTTCAAAACAAACAGTCGACACTTAAAAGGTCTCAGTTTGTATATTTGATCAGTATGGTTGTTACGACTTCGCAGTTATTGAAAAACTCTTTAATGACCTACTTTTTATGAAAAGAACGTGACTGGTATAATGGAAACAATTATTGTTATAACCAACTGTACCAGTGATTGTTTTACTGTACCTGTTTGTTTAAGTGTATCAAAATGACAATTCCATTGCTTTGTGACTTTGTACGAGCTCGCGAACGCTCGGTAGTCCCACTTGTAAACTTTCACACAATTTCTGTATTATTTCGACAACACAAGATCGCCAACAAATACATCTTACTACAACCATCAATCGCCTTCTGATATTTGGATATGGGAGGTGGCTTTTCTGTGGTGATTACCATAGTCAACCACGACTCGACGCCTACTACATCTGGTGACCCAAAACTGCGAACAGGTTTCAACCACTGGAAAACCTCCAAAAGAAGACCATCGCGGTGAGTCTATTACTTATTTATTCACGTTTAATCCATATTTTCATATTGATATCTCTCAATATATAATATTCTGGAAAAACTCGAAAAGACGGATAGCGATAAGGGTAGTATTAATATAATAGACTCCGAGGTTCAGGTTATCAGATTCTGACATGCCTTCTTTATTCTGCATGATCCAGAAGTTTCGTTTCCGGCACTGGAGTGTCGATTCCAGATCCGCCACATTATGAACCAACAGCAGAAATAAGCTTGTCCTCAAGAAAACTTTACTAGCGGATAATATTACTGCTGTTTGTGAGGTTTTCCTCAACCTCAATGCATCTAATGTCTATGATCGTCTCAAGAAAGCGGTCCTGATTAGGGGTGGTAGAAAACATCATACCAAACCTCTAAAAGCTAGTATACTTAGCACTGCTCTATCCAAGATCTGCAAATTTTCCCGAATGTGTCCACAACTGTCTACATCTATTACATGCAAAACCAGAGAATTATTGAGAGCTTGGTACTCAGGTCAATAAGCAGTCAACAAACACATCAAAATCGATCCAGTTTATAAACCAATCAGAAAACCTGTGGACAAATATAAGGCCAAGGATCAAATAAATTGGAGGTACAATCAAAATAAAAAAGTGGACAATGATAGATCAAAGATCAACAATAACCAAACAAGATCGGTGTTTATAGGACAAGCTGTGAGTTGTATGTGGAGAAATTCCAACATTTCAATTCTTCCTGAAGTTCGCGCTGATGATGCCATTCAGAAGAACGATGAAAGCTTCCTGACCAAACACCACTAAAATCAATTCTGGTCTATCAGTGCTTCCTGGAGTCTACATTTCCGAAAGTAGATCCCACACATTGAGTATCTGCTGATTTTTCTCCAAAATCTCCTTCTGTATACATTAAAAATCTGTCTTTGGAACTGTCTCCTCCAAATGTCCTGATACGGCTGTGAGTGGCGAGTCAGCTCTCTTGCTTGGAATACTCTCACATAGCCACGTGTATACAGCCACTGCCAGAGAAATCCTACTCACTGCCTTCTCGTGATAGGGGTAACAATTACGAAATTGAGAGGACAAAAAGCGAATGTTCGGCAGGTGTAGCTGGAAAACCCTGATTCCAAAGAAGTTGTGCACATGGACTTCAGGATCCCAAGGAAACAATTTTCGCATGAACCTATTGTTGGTCACCAGCTACCGTGAGACTGCATCTCCTTACGCTGCTGCACTGCCTTTTGGATTGCACCTCTAGGACAAAGGCTCGCGGTGTGGCTCCCTAAGAAAACCGCCTGCTTCGGTTCGGGTGCCCGGGTACTATTCTTGTCCTCACACACGTAGAGTGATTCATATGGTGCATATCTATTTGGAGCATCCTTGTACCAGTGTCTATGTGTTTAAATAAATAAATAAATAGTATGGGGAAAATCAGCTGCTGATGTGTACATGGATGTAACGTTTGTGTTTAACTTGACTTTATGGTGGTCTCAACTATGAGAAACTCTGAACAAACCAGTTTCCAACCTTTCCTAATGAAAGGACGCGTCTGGTCTTTGAAATGGATCATTCTCGTCTCAACTTATCCATTGGAACTTCGAAAATATCTTGCTGTATGAACGGTGTAGTTTGAAGGGTGATAAGGTCCTCCAACTTTGTGCAATCGATAATGGAGAAGTATAATGTAGACTAGTAACGAACGTCAACGAAAGACAAGAAAAGATAAAACACTGTATATGTCCATATGTTTTCCCTATGCTTGACGGAACACTGAGGACACTATTGTTCGTTGAAACTAATCACATCTAGTCAACGGACATTCAGTATCTTACGTAGAAAACTGTTTGGAAATAATTGCACCCTTTTGATGATGTCTGTGGCAGTTCTTGAAGTTTCAACTCTGACGGTAGAACTGTATCGATGTTCGTATTGAAGAATCTGATTTTGATGTGTGTTGACAGTTGTTTTGAGTTGCATATGTTCTTTAACTGTAGAAATGCTGTCCTTGCCTTGCCAATCCTCGCTTCCACATCTGCATCATATCGTCCACGTCCATTGATGATACTTATCAGGTACGTGAATGTTTCCACATCTCCCAGAGTTTCGCCATCAAGTATGAGTGGGTTGGTTGATACAATCTATGTTGTATTTGAGGATCTTGATTTTTCCTTTTCGTGTGTCGACGCCAACTGATGCAGAGACCGCTGCTATACTAGTTGTCTTCATCTGCATTTGTTGATGTGTATGGGATAGAAGGGTCTCATCATCTGCGAAGTCCAAATTATCTAGTTGCATCGAACCTGTCCATTTGTTACGTGCTTCCCATCAGATATGGAGGTCTTCATTATCCAGTCAACCACCAGAAGTAAAAGAATGGGAGAGTGATGGCAGTCATGTTTGACTCCACTTGGAATGCATCTGTCAGCTGTCCTGTATGCACGATTTTGCAGTGTAGTTCATCGTGTATATTCCGGATGTTGATCCCTAGTTTCACGACTTGGCCTGTACACGGCCCGTCCTTACGGAATCCGGCCTTTTGATCTCGAATTTGGATTGCACTGAATCCGGTTCAGCAACACTTTGTTCAATACTTTTCCTTGCACTAACTGTAGTGTGATGCCACTATAGTTCTCACATTTGCTCAGATCTCCTTTCTTTGGTATCCTGATGGGATATCCTACTTTCCAGTCTGTTGACACTTGTTCCACGTCCTAAACCTTCCTGAATAGAATGTGGGGCATCTTCGTAGTTACGTCCAAGTTTGATTTCAGTGCCCCAGCTGTTACATTGTCCGGTCCTGATGCTTTTCACTCTCCATCTATTCGCCGGTCATCTGGATTTCCTCGATCGTTGGTGGATTAACATTTATTAAAATGTCTGTGTGTGTTGCTGTGATCTCTGGTTGATTCAGTGGAGCAATTATATTCAAGGGTTTTTTAAAAAGTTTTTTCGGCTTCTTTGTCTTTGACAGATCTCTCTGACTTATTTTATTGGCCTGCGAAATTCTTCGTCGTGTCATATAGCTGTCTCATATTTCCTTCTCTTGCAACTTCTCCGCTGTCGTTGCTAGCTCTACCACGTTTTTCTGCTTGTCAGCTGTAATGCTCCTGTCCACTCGTTTGCTTGCTTCAGTGTATTCAGCTTGTGCTTTAATATTTTCCGTTGTTGTTCGACTATTGTTGCTCGCTCTCTTCCTATTCTTACTTTCTTCAATCTTGTCCAGTGTTTCCGTGGAGATTCAATAATTATGATTATGTTTGTCCAGATCAAGAACGTCCTGACACGTTGAAACTAGTTCTTCTTTATTCCTTGCTTGTTATCCTTCATAACAGTTTTATTTTCTTTCAGTAGATTCGGTAAGGTTTGGAACGTGTTGTTGAGAGTCATCTTGAGTTGGTTGAGTTTGTTGTTATGTTAAAGGAAGGTTGTCTTCCATTTTTGTAAAGCTGTTTCCTCAATTGTCCAGTACTTCTTTAGCTTCAGTTTCATCTTGGCAACCACCAGCTAACGGTGATCTGAAACTTTGTTGGCTTCACTTTTTGTTCCCACATCTTCCATTGACCTTGCAATTTTTTTACTGATGTAAATGTGATCTATCTGGTTCTCTGTAGTGTGATCCAGTGAGTACCATGTAGCTTTGTGTGGGAATATTGTGTCTCACATTATCTTTTTTGTGAAGGCATATAAATTTGCAAATCTGTCACCATGACCGTTCTTTTCTACGAGTAAGTTCATGCTGTCCCATAATATCTCCATATCCGGCGCTGTCCATCCCGACTATGGTGTTTAGGTCTCCCATCAGGATGGTTAGGTCTTTTCCTGGACACTTTGCTATGATCGATTGCAGTCTCTCACAAAACTGATCTTTACTGTCGTCATTGCTGTCATTGTTATTGCATAACACTGTTTAACATTCATCGCGATTCCCTCCTTCCTTGCTTTGAATGATGCTTTGATTAACCTGGATCCGTGAGATTCCAATCTTATAAGTGCACTACGTGCTTGTTTGGACAGCATTAGAGCAACTCCCTGAGTCTGTGGAGCAGTTTCCTTTTTGTGACTGGAGTGAAGCAGGATCTCTCCTGTGTCTAACCTTCACCGTCCAGCTTGGGTCCAATCGTTTCAAATGATTACGAGAACAGTCAAATTGTTTCTCGCCATTTCCGTTACTACTTGACTGGTGTTTCCAGGCTCTCACATTATCCAGACGTTCCATGTACCTATGAAAATTATTTCCCTGATTGTCAGAAGGGGTATTGGCCCCACGATTTCCGAAGAATTTCGGCTATCATCCTGAGGCTTCATAATTCTCCATTCAACTTGGAGGACAGAGTTTAAGTGGCTTAAATTACTTATTCTGGTTAGCGGTTTCATAATCAAGGTTGTTTTCTACGGGAAGGGGTTGCCGAACCCGCTCTCAATCCTCCACCTTTAAATGTGCTTGGGACCGGCAGTAGCTCTATAGGAGGAACAAGCGGAGTTAAAATGGCGAATGGAGGTAAAATAATATCTTCACTCAAACTCCTAAATTTGTGAGCAATTGAGACAGGAATCTCAAAAGATTGTCAGCTAACCTCTTACGATACAAAGTTTGGAATGTATCAACCTTATCAATTGCCGGCGTATTGTTTGATCATTCCCTTTATGAAGGACATAATCTTTGGCTACGAAACGGCAGACAACTTGACGATGAGGAAAGTGTCACAGAGTTATTTTGATGAAACAGTGAAGTCTAATATGGAATTATTCGACCTTTCAGTAGACGAAGCTATAGCAGAGTCCGTTCAAACGTTTGAGTTGGAGGTCTGTAATGACATTTTGATGGTTTAATTAATAGTAACGGCATGTAGGGTGTGGATCTCTCCGATATTGTTAAGGATATGATCAAGTATGAAAACGGCCATCCGAGTGTCCTAGCTATCAAAAGACTTCAAACGTTTTTAGAGGTTGACCATGAAACTTCTCAGTTATTGGAAACCTTACAATCTATACAGCTACCACGGAACTCCGACTTTGCTGTCCGCAAATTGTTAATCGATATGAATGCTGTAGATATCTTAATAGACCTTTTCGATCGGTATTCTCCAGTTGGAGACTATTGTCTATGTACGTCACTGTTGAGTGTGTTGTCCAGAATAGTTAAAGGCCGTTCCGAATCTGTTGGGGAAAAACATATCCAAAGTAAGCAAATAACTAAAAAAGTCACTTGACTAAAATCTCTAGTTTTCATAGCAACAGTATGGTTCTCAGGACCTTTTAAAAATTATTTTTACATGAAGCTGGTATCTGAAGTTCAAAAGACCCCAGATTATTCCTTGGTTACCAACTAAATTTAAATATTTACTGATGCAGTTAGGGGTTCAAGGTGGGATGAATATTTTTGGCATAATTATCAAGTTTCCATCTCCTTTTGGTTATATACTGTGCATTACTGGTGGAAACCATTGATCCAGTAACTTATCCGACTATAGAATAGTCTGGACTCATTCTTACTTTTAAATTGAGACTAAGTACTAGGACTAATATACCAACCTCTCCTGAATAGTGCCAACGTACACCACCCATGGCGCAAGCGATGTATTTGTCTGTCAGATAAGAGGCTAGTATACTGTGCTGTATTGTTGCACGGATAGTGATTATCCCCAGTGAAGACGAAATTATTCTACTGCTTCGCATTCTTCTAAATTATCTGACGAGGTTAATGTAAGTTCAAAAGCATATTTGTGCCAGGTCCGGTGTTGCCGATGACTAATTTATTACCTAAAAGTTAGTGTTCGCAATGAATACCGGGAGACCTTTCAATCCATAGAAGTGTGTGTTAAATACCACAATGATACCAATTTTTACGATGTATGGTGAATTATCCGACTAGTAAAATGTAAAACTTGTCTTACTTTGTGTTTCTCCTCATATTAATTGAATTCATCCTGTTTTATTTTTTTACCCCCACAGAGCTAATAAATTCACTTTCCAAATTAATTGACGAATTGGAAGCAAACGCATCTACCGATTTAAAATTCAGTTTGATTGCTGCAATCTACTCAGTGTTACACCTCAGTTGTACGAAAAATGAAAGAAATAGAACTTCTATTTCCCAGACTCAAACTGTTACTCAGACCATAAATTTTTTTGTGAGAATCGTAGAATTGTTTGACAATCTCCCTTTCAATACTTTCTACCCTACATTAAAAGAAGGATGTGGATTCTTACGATCACTAACCCTCGATGATGATTTAGACGTTGAATTCGGTCTAGGAAGTGAAAATGCTCGTACTATAGCTAAAAGTGACTCGTGTTTGGAAGTATTTGTCAAGTTAATATCAAGTAAACATTCTGCAGTATTTTATAGCTTGTTTTCTATTAATGTCGCGTTGATTAAAGTTTGTAATTATTGCCAAGAACTCTAATGAGGTGATAACCAGAGTAAGATTATCTATTAATTTTGTGTAAGGGTCGTTCACTTTGACATCCGGCTTTTGAAAAATTCAGTTATTAATCATTCCCTACGATATTTTATTGTATTCCGATTATCTTTTGCGATCACTTGGTTTTGGTATTTGTTTAATGTTAACTTCTTTATAATTATTGAAGCCCGATTGATAATTGCAGAAAAGAAAGACTATGAGATGAGGAATATTATCACATTATATATATATATATATATCAGGCTAAGCTTTGTATTATTAGCTGGAGTCTGGGTCAAAAGTACTAAAGGCATATCATTGGAAAGCAATTGCAGGCGTTCATCCATTGCGTTTTTTATTGTACTAATATCTTTCAGTTGTGTAGCAAGGACCTGGCCGAAACAATTTCTTTCGAAAGTCTAGATGTTGACCAGTAAACAGTTTGCTTCATGATTTGATGTGAACTGAATTCTCTGTATGTATTTATTGACAGCACAATAATTCTGGTTCAACAGCGGACTAGAAAATAAGCTATATGGTAATATTAAGGAAAAATATAGTGTAAACCTACGTTAGTACCTCTGAAGTGTTCTGAACGAGACACCGGTCTTTTTGTCCCTAATATTCAATAGTTCTACATTTCATCCCAATCAGTGATAATAACTATCTCAAAATTTATCATTCCTAATAAACAGTCTAACTGACTCATAGAACTTTTCTCGTTATTATCTTGCTTCCAGAAAAAATTTATAAGGAAGCTACCAATCTACTGAACATCTTTTCTCTGTGCTACTTAAAAATGCCCATTCAATGCTGACTTGCGTTGTCTAGAATAAAAATAGCGCGTCAGTCGCTTCACTTGTCTCAGAAGTTTCATCAAACCTGGTGGGTTCGACATTGAACAAAGTTTCGTTGAGCACAAAATGTTCACCTGGCTTTTTCTAACCTATATTGCTTATGACTTGAGTAATTTTTAAAGTTCGTTCTTTGCCTTCATGTGGCCGACCATAAGCTTTTTTAAATATCTGTGCGATTCCTAACATTGTAGTTCCCCACTAGGCAATTTCACTACGTGTAAATGATCTCCCGAATTCTCAGACAATGGTATACTTGCAGTTCTCTTCATCTAACCAACCAATTATGAAATCTACTTAGTATAGTAAGTTACCCTTCTCTGTTATTTACTCTTCGCCCCCAAATGCCCTGGTACGACCGAGAGTGGGGAGAGTCCTCTCTCCCTCTCGAAATGCTCTCACATGGCCAGCGAATATATAGCCTCTGCCAGGGAAGTCCTACTCACTGCCTTCTCGTGGCGGGGGTGTTGTTTACGAAATTGAGAGGACGAAAAGCGAATGTCCGACGCTTTAACCGGGTCGGTGGACACGGAAAGTCCACCTAGGGGAGTTGGAAAACCCTGATTCCAAACCAATGGTGCACATGGGCTGGTTTCAGTATCCTGAGGGAAGAAATGGCGTACGAATCAATCGTTGATCACCGGCTACCGTGGGACTGCATCTCCTCACGATGCTCCACTGCCTTGTAGATCAGATCTTTCGGTCAAAGGCTCCGGGTGTGGGCCCCTAAGAAAACCACCTGCTTCAGTTCGGGCACCTGGGCAGTATCACAGCCCTCAAGCAAATCGAAAGAGATTTGTATGGCGCATATGTATCTGGTGCTTCCTTGTACCAATATTTATGTGTTTAAATAAATAAATAAACTTGTTTGACAACTAGTCACCTCATCGAGACTATATAGGAACGCTATCAGTACTCGTTTATTTACTATTTCTAGTTAAGTGTTATGTGCACAAACTTGTGATGCTTTCTGATTGCCTGACCACAGTATGTAAAATTAAACTCCAGCTCATGATTTTGAAGTGTACTTCAAAATCCGTATTCCCAGTAATAACCCAACTAGGATATCGAAATTTTTGAGATATAACTCACTTTTTACGTCTTGAATCAGTCACCACTTAATATACTGGAAGTATTTATTTATACGCAGTGCTGATCAGTGTATAGGATAGATTGATAAAAATAGTGATGTCCAGATAAAGACGTGGCATCGGTTCGTAAAACTAGATTGTTAGACTGCTGTCTCTGGAGGCACAGGATGCCTAGTTGGTGAAGAAAATCTCACTTCAGTGTTTAAAAATTGCTGAGACTAACGCAAATACATTTATTTTTTTCCCTAAATCTTTCTTTTAAGCATTTTTAATCCTCATTCCACTTCATTCGTTGCTGTCGAATAATCCTTCATATGACTAGTTTCTCTTTAAAAATGAAATTAATATTTCCACTTTGTTTTTCAACGTGTTAGCTCTTGTTTTTTATTGTTAGGTGATGTTTAGTAACCAATCATATTCCACGGTGTTTATACTAAACTGATATGTCTTCATCTCCAAATTTGATTTCAAAACTAATGACCGCATTATGAGCTTGGGATTCCCTTCAGTGTTATGGCAGTCTTTATCTTATCGTTGAATATATATATCACATGTGCGTTCATTATTTTCTTCCTTCTTCCCTGCTGTCATATATTTATCTTACTCTCAATTTTGTTTATAGAGATTTTGAACTCCTCAAATGTGTGTGGAATTTCTGACCTATTTCAGACATTATCAGCTATAATTACTCGTGAGGAGTTGTGCACGAAATTCGCATCACTTAACGGCATCGATATACTAATGCAAACTGTCTATTCTAATATAAAGTCAACTGTAAGTAATTTATGCTATTACTTTTATAGTCACTAGTCTTTCTAAATTTTCCCCAACTTTCAATGATAGTGTTGAGTAAATTATTTCTTTTCTTATTTTTCTCGCGCCCAATGTCCTAATCAACTTGAGTAATAGAATTTCATTAACACTAAAGGACTAAAAAACACAGCGTTAGTCACTATTTAGTGACCAATTAGTTTTAAATATCTCAGTCCTACAGGAGATCAGCCACGACCTAATTAGCTTATTGTTAACATTTCATACTGTTAATTCAGCCTACTTCAGTTTATGTCCACAAAGTATCATCTATCTCCTCAAGATTAACGTTACACCTTGCCTGATGGTTGCCAAGTAGCATGAAACTTAGGTACAAAGTTCCCTACTGACTACCTCTAATTGCTTAACATCGCTATTCTAAGGTGTTCGCTTCTAGGGTTATTTAACAATGGCTGGTCAGTTATTCACGAATAAATAAATACCTAGTACAAACGTGTGTCTGTTTAATTAGCCCTATTTTACATCGATTCGGTAAGTTATAAAATTAACAGAATCAAAATTATGATTTATTAAAGTAATAATATCACCCATGATATAAAGACATTGTGGTACAAGTAAGCCATGTAAAATCAGGAAATGGAAAGCACGGGATAATAAAACTCAAGATTCAGAAGAAATATGATGGCAAAGGATCTTCTACGCATAAAACTTGATCTTTGCCACGTAACCTACGTAATCAGTTGTGGAAATGCCTTATTCTGTTATAAGTTGGTTAGATTAAGAGCAATCATTTGTTTGTATTTTATCTACGATAAAATCTGTGATACGTTTTTCAATTGGCAGCAGAGTTGCATATTTTTGTTGAGTAATCTTATGTTAAAACCAACCCCTGCATAAATACTATCATTAATTCAATAAGTATACTGCTAAACCGGCACACTAGAATTAAAACTGTAAACTAACGAATGTGTACCAACCGAATTTTTGTTGACCTAAATCCTATTGGACAGAAATCGCAAACATGACAACGGTTATTTTATTAACATTTTTTTCAGCCACAATTCTATCTCAAAGTCGAATAAAAACAAACTCCATGTAGAATTTATAAATTCTCCTTAGCTTATTTTAATTTTTAAATTCTAAATGATCCGCTGTTGTTCCACTTTTTTGTTTTGATTCGTCGTGTCGATTTTTCTCAGGTTATTATTTCGTCTTCAATGGTCCTTTTACAAGCATTATGTGGTTCAGATGCTTGTAAACTATCTGTTAGTAATTGGTCAATCCATAACATTTCTGGACCTCAGCTTATTGTAGATATATTTGAAGACCATATAAAAAGTCCTGTTGTTACAAAATATATCTCAGGTGTAATTGCTGCTCTTACTCTTCGACAACCTGATATTGCAAAATCGTTTGTTACATCAGGTGCATCAAATTATCTCATCAAGTTAAGTTGAATAAAATTTGAAAAATAAAAGTATAAATCTAATAATAATTTAAACGTTGTACGAACAAAAACACTTAACAGATTGGATCTCTTACATTTCTATCTGGATTGTCAACATTTTTAAGCTTGATTTGGCTCGTATATCTACACTTTGTATACATTCAATAACCTTTCTGGTATTGATAATCATGCAATACTTTGAAAATTTAATTTTAATGCTATTAATTCTGAACTTATTTGTTCAGTTATAATATTTACCAACAAATATCGTAAGTACATGTGCTTCATATTCATAATTATTGTCTGCATCAGTGAAGTTTGTTATAGAAGTACATGGAGCTGAGAGATAATCTGATTAGTTTAATTTGTCACTAATAATGTTGGAAATATTACCATCACTTCCTTTGTTTTTTATCTTTCACGTCCCTGTTAGCGTTTTAACATAGTCAGTTTTCTGAAGTATCGTGTTCGATGGTATATAGGAATGTGAGCTAATACTCTGTTCTACCGATTTCTATGTTACTCTGGTCAGTTATCAATGTTAGCGTTATAAATGGATACTGTTTAACATAATAAGTGACGCTTGGCGAATCATTGCGTACTACCGAAATGTGATACTGAATGGAATAAGAATAGCCAATACAGTATATATGCTAGTAGTTACTGAATACTGCTTTGAGTCCTTTGAAAATGTCTTGAATGGGAGCCCTATTTAAAGGAATGACATTATCGTTCCTCATGCTATCCCCCAACTACTTAGGAATTTAGTCTACATAAATAATTGTTTTCTGAGTCCTGACATATGCCTATATAAACATGCATGATGCATAATTTTTTTACAAATATTGTTTCGACTGTCATTACACTAATCATACTTGCCGCGTTTTCGGTTCCTCTTTTCACTCCTCTGTCATGCTCCCATTTCCGTTTATCTGTCTTATAAATGTGAGAACCTGCAGTGATGTACGTGTACATGATAAATAGGGTTTCTTAACCGTAGAATTTATTGCCTACGGATCACCAGCTTATAAATGTTAGTGCCTTAATTTACTTGGATTGAATATGCTAAGTCCCTTCTTGATCTTTTACTAGAAAATTAAAAATGTAGTTCTGTTGATATGCATGGATTATGTCACATATGTTTTCACCCATCCTCAACTCTTCACCCTTTATGCTTGTCACAGTATTCACGTGCTTCTAAGAAACGAAGATATTTCATAAGTATCTACTCAAGCCTGCTGGATCTTAGCGGGATTGCTTTTCTTAATATTTCACATCAATAAATAAATCATTTATTTGTATCTTAAATTGTATACTTATATGCAATCATTTTCCGTTGTAGACGCTCGAGTTTCATTTATCTAATCCCCCAACTGTCCGAGCCGCATGTAGAGCTATACGTAACTGCGTCTCACGATCTCCAGAACTACGGTCTTCGTTTTTGACATCCGATTCTGGTGCTGACACTGGTTTGGAAAAACTGCTCAATTCTGCACTGAAAATCCCATCATGTTGTGATGAAGCTAAAGCAGCTCTTCGGGACTTAGACTGCAAGGTTGAGCTTCAGGAGCTCTGGAAAGGCCATCCACAGTCTGGCTTAGTAAATAGCAGTTAAGTTATTCAAATGGATTCACTGAATACTGAAACTCATCTTCATAATCTGGCATTGTAAAGTTCCTGACATTCTAGTGCATTCAATAAACATGACTGGTTATGCTATTACTTTTATAAATAGTCTTGATTTTGATAAGTTACAAATAAACATCGTTTAGTTAGAGGTCGCTGATTAATCATTCCTGTGTATGTATAAGTCAATGATAAACAGCGCAGAACGTTGCCCATATCTTCATTTGCCTGAGTTCCCGCGACATATAAGCACAGTGAAATGGACACTGTCCTAAAACAATATTAGTGGTGTCACTGATAGAAAAAAAGGTTGCGATGGAATAAATAATCGGAGAAGGGATGAAATCTATGAGGTAATTTCATAGTTATGAACTTATGAGAAGATCCGAAGCACATCCTGACTGTTTACTACGATGATAAAGAAAGCCAACTCTAACGTAAACTGAAAAAATAGTTGCGGGACGATCGTAGGCAATGTGAGTAAAAGGAATGGAAATGGCATCGGCGACAAGTAACAATGAACGGTTTTTCACATCCATTAAGGAAATAGGTACTTAATAGCTTTTAGTAAGACCATTAAAAAGACAAGACCACTATTACTTTGGTTCATGCTCTACCGTGAACTTAGATCCTTAGTATGTCGCGTATACCTCGAACGCTAGGACCTCCCCAACTCGCAAAATGAGAAGACAGAGTGTATTTCCAAACACTGTCAGTTATGGTATAAAAAACTCAGGTATTTATAGTTTTTAGTAAAAACGAAGTAATTTAATTATCTAATCCGCACACAGGGGGTAATTAGCTTTTGTCCAATAGGGAAGCTACACGTGCGATTCTGGAATATCCTTCCTGAAACTGATTAAATGGAGTATGTTCGGCTCCTTCTGGGCTTCTAAGAGTTTTATCAACACCTGTGAACCATCCTCAGTCCAGATAGTGAAGTCGTTGGGAGGAACACTGAGTAGTAGATCGACAGACCTCAAGTTACCTATTGTCTCCAAACAACTTCAGTGGGACATCGGATCCCCAGACTGTCAATGCGGTTGAGAAAATCTAACTTAAGGCGAAATAGATGATCGAGATATGGTATGCTAATTCTTGATATCTTTAAGTGCAGTGATTAAGTCCTAGTAGTTTAGTTGACCGAGATGAATGCTAGTTTGTGGGTTAAACAACTCCATCTTACTGTTCCTAACTGCTGGTAGTTCCAATTTACAAAATCCGGGTAACATCCACTGAAGAACTGTAGGGGAGTCAATTTGTCTATTAACGCCTAGGGTATTAACCTTAATAACCATTTGAGTGTGGTGAAAATAGAAGGGCTATCCTCCTACTCGAATGTAGGTGAATCGAAAAAATATTCACCTACTTTCAGGTTTTTTAACACTGATATACCAACCGGCGACTAGAGTAGTACTTCTGACCTTAAAATGGTATTCGCTCTCTTGACTAGTTGATCTGTGGTTGTTCCTTATTAAAAGCGTACTGGCCCTCTATTCAGACCATTGTCGAAGTCAAAGTTCATAAAGAAGTGTCATAGAGATAATCAGTCTTGTTCGAAATTAGTTATCCCACCCCGATCATCCAGATTATTCATCAAAAGTGAGTTAGCCAAGTACTCCTATCATTCCACTTTCCTTGAAAGTCTTAATAGACCTGGTTGGTTTGATCGATGGACGCCATCAGTATTTAGAGATGGATGATGTGCTTCATAATTATTCACGGTAGAGCAAACGCATTCACTATTTAGCTTCTTTTAGATCAAGAGTTCATCCATATATATCCTTGCACTCTGAGACAGTTCTCAATGTTCAGTCTGTCTCATCATCATTGCTGCAACCATATCTCTACTTCCTAGTTGTTCATCCCGTCGACTTTATGCTGTCGAGTTGGTGAGGCATGAAAACTTAAGCTAACGCACATTTACGCCAGGTTCTACATTGGCCGTAACTATTGGACACTAGAGGCCTCTAACCGTTAATCACGATAAACACGCGGGGCTCAATTAGTTTACTAACACTGTGGGTAAATTTCTGCCAAATTTTCACTTGCCCACTCTTAAGTTTAGTCAAAATGCCTGAGGCAGAATATCGCGGTATGGACCAGCTAGACATATATAATACATGTATCAACTATTTTAGTGGATGAAGGTCTACAATTTGCTGTCACATCACATACCTTCAGCCTAATCCCAACGCTACTCATCCGGTAGTCCCAATATACGAAATGAAGGGCCAGAATACTCTATATGAAACGAATGAATTAAAAAGCTTAACGATCACATAGTAATCACCGTTTTGATCACCAAACTCTACTGTCATTGTTCGACTGTTGGGGCGACCTTTTATGCAAGTTAGTTCATTTAGATGATCTAAAGAAATTGAATTCTCGATCCATATCAGTCGATTCCTATTTTTATACGTAAAAATCTAAAATCTGGGCTGTTTCAAATAATTGAAATGTAAAACTACCACAGAATTGTCCCAATATAAGACCTGTAGCAGCCTTGATGCATTCGTCTTTGATCACATATATTTAACTTTAGCACCTTGGAGGTTTTTTTATAAATTTCCTAAACACTTCTTTCAAGTATTTTAACCTACACAGTCACCCTGGTTTAATCTGTTGATACTATCACATTTCTGAATAATTCCTTAACACAAATGATCATGTGAACAGTTAGGACTAATGCCTGTGTAAGACCATCTACGTTGATGATCTATGTCAAAATGATCGGGGGCCTACTATAGTTAGACGAGAATGGGGACGAACCAATTAACGCTGAAGTCACACCTCGCGACCAGCCCTTACGTGGATTGAACCATCGACGCATCAAAGGATAATAGATGCTATGGAGACTGTACAACACAAAGGACGTTATGACAAGAATATATTAGTTAAGGTACAACTACGGAAGTACAGAAGTGAAAGAATAACCACTGCCGCGTGGGCCAGTCCATGGCGTACGATTGGTTTGTGCGCGTTGACTATCCACGACCTTGACAGGGATCAGTGATCTGTTCGATATTCAGTGACCCAACACCTGCTTTATTACCTTAGACGTGAATTTTTAGTTGGAGAAGCATGAATGAATGTTAAAAGCTTCTCCTGTTCTAGATGGTTAAGACAGGATTCCAATGCTTCTGTTCCTTTGTCTGTTATCGAGTACACTATCCTCATCAACCATCGTTAACCTTCTCTTTGTTCTTCCTTGAACTGCTCCGTCAAAAGATACTTAAAAGCCAAAACTGCTTGATTCAAGACTCAACTGGAATTTCGTGGTGTAATGGACCAAAATCTCCATTGGATATACTAATTAATTGTGTCATCCTAAATCTCACACTAGATTTGTAAACGACGAAGCTTGAAAAGTTATGGTCTACTTAGTTATTATTACTGCTCCCATAATAGACCTATTCCTAAAACTGTAGATTCGTCATGATGTGACCACTTGATCTATAAAATCTTACGTGGAAGTCACATCAATGTCTACACTGACTTGTCTTATCATAATCATCAACAAATATGATGAAGAACACATCAAAATCGATCCAGTTTATAAACCAATCAGAAAACCTGTGGACAAATATAGGGCCAAGGATCAAATAAATTGGAGGTACAATCAAAATAAAAAAGTGGACAATGATAGATCAAAGATCAACAATAACCAAACAAGATCGGTGTTTATAGGACAAGCTGTGAGTTGTATGTGGAGAAATTCCAACATTTCAATTCTTCCTGAAGTTCGCGCTGATGATGCCATTCAGAAGAACGATGAAAGCTTCCTGACCAAACACCACTAAAATCTATTCTGGTCTATCAGTGCTTCCTGGAGTCTACATTTCCGAAAGTAGATCCCACACATTGAGTATCTGCTGATTTTTCTCCAAAATCTCCTTCTGTATACATTAAAAATCTGTCTTTGGAACTGTCTCCTCCAAATGTCCTGATACGGCTGTGAGTGGCGAGTCAGCTCTCTTGCTTGGAATACTCTCACATAGCCACGTGTATACAGCCACTGCCAGAGAAATCCTACTCACTGCCTTCTCGTGATAGGGGTAACAATTACGAAATTGAGAGGACAAAAAGCGAATGTTCGGCAGGTGTAGCTGGAAAACCCTGATTCCAAAGAAGTTGTGCACATGGACTTCAGGATCCCAAGGAAACAATTTTCGCATGAACCTATTGTTGGTCACCAGCTACCGTGAGACTGCATCTCCTTACGCTGCTGCACTGCCTTTTGGATTGCACCTCTAGGACAAAGGCTCGCGGTGTGGCTCCCTAAGAAAACCGCCTGCTTCGGTTCGGGTGCCCGGGTACTATTCTTGTCCTCACACACGTAGAGTGATTCATATGGTGCATATCTATTTGGAGCATCCTTGTACCAGTGTCTATGTGTTTAAATAAATAAATAAATAGTATGGGGAAAATCAGCTGCTGATGTGTACATGGATGTAACGTTTGTGTTTAACTTGACTTTATGGTGGTCTCAACTATGAGAAACTCTGAACAAACCAGTTTCCAACCTTTCCTAATGAAAGGACGCGTCTGGTCTTTGAAATGGATCATTCTCGTCTCAACTTATCCATTGGAACTTCGAAAATATCTTGCTGTATGAACGGTGTAGTTTGAAGGGTGATAAGGTCCTCCAACTTTGTGCAATCGATAATGGAGAAGTATAATGTAGACTAGTAACGAACGTCAACGAAAGACAAGAAAAGATAAAACACTGTATATGTCCATATGTTTTCCCTATGCTTGACGGAACACTGAGGACACTATTGTTCGTTGAAACTAATCACATCTAGTCAACGGACATTCAGTATCTTACGTAGAAAACTGTTTGGAAATAATTGCACCCTTTTGATGATGTCTGTGGCAGTTCTTGAAGTTTCAACTCTGACGGTAGAACTGTATCGATGTTCGTATTGAAGAATCTGATTTTGATGTGTGTTGACAGTTGTTTTGAGTTGCATATGTTCTTTAACTGTAGAAATGCTGTCCTTGCCTTGCCAATCCTCGCTTCCACATCTGCATCATATCGTCCACGTCCATTGATGATACTTATCAGGTACGTGAATGTTTCCACATCTCCCAGAGTTTCGCCATCAAGTATGAGTGGGTTGGTTGATACAATCTATGTTGTATTTGAGGATCTTGATTTTTCCTTTTCGTGTGTCGAGGCCAACTGATGCAGAGACCGCTGCTATACTAGTTGTCTTCATCTGCATTTGTTGATGTGTATGGGATAGAGGGGCCTCATAATCAATAGAGTCCAAATCGTCTGGCTGCACACAACCCATGACTATATGAGCATCTGTATTTAATGGGATTGTTGGTCAAAGTATTCGCATTTTGAAAAACAAAATTTATGGTATTGTAGATTATTCAGAACCAACCATTCTCAATCCAATACGCACGTTCTGCGTTCTTATGGGTTTTTGTCGATGAGCAAAAACAGATTATATGTCTTTCTTGAGAACCTCAACAGACAATCTTCTTGTAAAGGCGAGCAATAGCACGAAAAACATCCTCAAACGCTATGGTAGTTATCTCAAAAGCACCTAAGCTTGCGCACTAGAACAATCGGCACATTCAAATCCATGGCCAAAAAGGTCTTGAGACGATGTGTAGACGACACCTGGCAATCTATGGTATTCTTTCCGAGTTGGTTGAAAGACAGTGAATTGAGGTACAGCACTTTTGGCAAGGATCTCCTCACCATGTATCGTGCTGTACGGAACTTTCTACATTCTATGGAAAGACGAAAATCCACCATGTTTACATATCATAAACCTCTTATCTTCTCCCCAATATCGTCTTCAGACACGTACTGTCCTTGAAGGTTTCAACATCTGGACTGAGTTCGCAATTTGCTTCAGGCAAATTTCCTACTCAATCAACGTGGTTGCAAACGCCTTATCTCGCATAACTTCTTTGAACTGTTTCCCAGCTGTAAAATGAAGGCATTGATCATCAGAATGAGTCGTTGATATTATACATTTGTGCTGGAGCAGGTAAATACCTTTCTACAGGCACGTTGTTTTGCTTACAATATGTTTATCAAGTATGGCTTTTAAAAGAGAAACAAATAAAAGACAGTTCATTCGTGCATATCTCCCAGAACATTGATGATTAGAGTCATGTTTTGGTGTTGTACTGAGTTTTTGGAATTTTCGGAATTTTTCCGAAATGGGATCGCGTCCACGCTGCACACCAACTTAAAACTCAGCTACAGTTCTGGACCTGCTAAGTATTTATGCAATACAACCTTTTACGTCTATAGCTGTTATAAAGTAAGTTTAAAGAGCGCTTTACGAGCTATGATCTTGAAAAAAGTGTATACATGAAGTTTATTTCCGGCGTCGAAAGCTCCATGTTTGTACCCTGAGAGTGTTGCGCTTAAAACGAGGGACAAAGGAGTAGAAAAGCACTTGGATATAAACGCTAAACAATGTTTAACAGTTTGTAGTGAAACAGATAAATGTACGATAAATTAGTAGATTAAACTAGTATCAGCTAAAGTGAAGTGTGGATAGAGCCTTCAGATAATAGAATGAAGTAATAAAGAACAGTGATTCGTGGTATGTAACATGGTAGAGTGGATTCAGTTGATGGAAGGGCTTGACAAATAATGTGGCTAATGTTCAGTGAAATCTGACTAACGGTGCAATAATTGCAGAATTGCCTTCGGGAACTACTGTTTGACAATTTTGAACACTTAAATAATTGTAAATCTTCCTTTGACAGAGAGCGGGGCTTACGAACGGTAAGTGGATTTTGTGTAAATGTCTTCGCCAAATGACACGGTAGTAACTAGTCTTAATTATTCATCCTTTTCAACCCGAAGCCAATCTTTCTTAACAGTCGCTAAATTACAATATCGTAAATGGTGTTTACTGCACCTTAGTGTTCCGACCCGTTCATGAAAATTTGAAGTTTCCAGAAAACTTGTCACAAAGCCTAAGCAAAATTAAATCCGTTAGGAGCAACCGCAAGGCCTGTGGGAAACGCTGCATACTTACCAAAGGATAATCACGGGAGCCATTCTGTACCACCACCCTTCCCCAAACGTCTTTTTTCACCCTAAACGACAAGTATGTTTTCGCGAATGTTCAATAAAGGCCTAGCGCTCATGAAACGAACCTTATCATTAGCATCCCTAATTTAACAACATTCATACAAATTGTATACTGTATATGTTCAACTTGCATCAAATACAACCGTGTCAGTACTTAACTTTTGTACAAAAATTCTGGGATCATCATTCATTGAATATGCGTTCGAACGAAAAGTATACTTCTCACAAGAACATACATGTACTCGTTAATCACGAGACACTTAAATATATCTAAACTTGGAAGCGAATGGATTGGTAAGGTAATCTGATGGATGTAAAGACGTCCAAAACTTAAGTTACCCCGTTTCATTTATCTGAGTGGCTTTTCTGACCACAAAAAATCCACATTGCATACATGCTTACATTTTACTATATAGAGCAAAACGAAAAGTGGGAAACCGTGTTGTAGTATAACATCAACGACATGCCTAAGGCGTAAAGCAAACAGGAAAACATGTATTTAGGTATCATTACCAAGTCTTGATTTGATAATTTTTGTTGTTGAATAAATTGAACATTGGGTAGATTGTTTTAAATAAATAATATATTTGTAATATTCCAATAAGTAGAAAAATTAGATTTTCTGACGTTTCGTGACCCAGTGTAAGCCACTTCTTCAGTGAATAAAAATGTAGGTGAGTATTTTGATATTCCAACTCAGTGAACAGATAATGGTGAGCGTCTGCTGCAACTGTGCTCGGACAGTCGCTTATTTTTATCAAGCACTAATTTGAAACATAGGGAGCGACATTGTCAAACATGGCGACCCTCTGCACCAAAGCAACGATGGACTCAAATAGTCCATATCGCTATCAGTCATCGTTGGAGAGGCTCGAAATGTGAAAGTTATCGAAAAGGAAGACCCTTTTATCTTCTCTTAGTCTAGACATTTAAAACGAGAGGATCACTCTAAGGAGCAGTTCAACTACTCTTAAGCTAAGCACCATCCCCAAACATCCCAAATGAAAAATTGAATTAGGCTCATCTACTCTAATTGAAGTTCAAAAAGTTATAGCTAATCTGAAACGATGAAGAGCAACTGGTCCAGATGGATTGGCTACAGAGGTCTTTAAAGATGGTGGTTCAGTTTTAGAGATTAGGTTGACTAATAATTCAGCTAAAATCTGGGAACTGAATGTAATCCCAACTGACTGGTTGCAATCACTGATAGTCGCAATACATAAGAAAGAGTCGAAGTCGTCCTGTGATAACCATAGAGGGATTAGTTTAACTAATATAGCAGCTAAAATACCTGACTCAATATTTATTGGGTGCCTAACGAAGACTCGTGAACTCCAAACACGAGAAAATCAGATTGGCTTCATACCTAATCGTGGCTGCACTGACCACATTCACCATTCGTCAGGTTTTAGAACACAGACATACTTATCGGCGTCTGACAATGATGGTTTTTCCTTGCTTTAAAGCAGCATTTGACTTTGTAGAACAAGAGGTCCTATGACAGTCTCATTAAAAGACGTACCTCAGAAATATAAACTTTATGAGGTCTCTTTACTCGAACACTTCTAGTCGATTCAGAGCTTATGGCAAACTGTCACCTGATTTTATAGCCTCAAGTAGTGTCCGTCTAGGCCATCCACTATCTCCATTTCTCTTTAATTTCAGCATAGACTGGTAAAAATTTTGCGTAAATTTGGTGATCGCCGTCGAAAGAATATACGTCTATGGGATAAATTTTGAGTCACTACTGGGGGAAATTCCGATTCCTGGTCGCATTACCCCAAATTTGATCAATCTTATCCCTCAGTTGGTGGGCTGGATTCAGTATAAGAATTCATATGTAAGAGTTGTTGCTTAAACAACCCTTGCTACAAATTACAATGTTTTTAAATACACTAAATAAGTAGGCCTTAAGGAAACTGTTGAATTAATATATGGAGAGTTACTAGTGGGTAAATATTCTCAGACTGTCTACGGGACTTAGCGTCATTGCGCATTGTAATATGATAAATTGACCCATATTTCCGAATTCCGCTCTATTTTTCTGCATCACATGATAATGTGTAAATGTATAGTTTATTCGAAATAGCTAACCTTACTTTCCGATTCTATCAACTGATCAGTTCACCTATATGAATATTCCAATGTAAAATGCCAGCTGTTAGAGCCTTCAGTTACTGACTTTCATTCTTATCAAAGACTAGCAAGGACAGCATTCTAGTAGTGCGTATTGTAAGCTGAGAAGATTTTTACATCAAATTCATTTTACTGTTTTTTATGTCATTATTCTAATTAGGTCTTTACCTCTTACTTTTTAGCTTTAATGGATGTTGAGTCGCCAGAGTCCGAACAGTTGTCGGTCGAGGAATACAAAAATCAAGGAAACTCATGTTATAAACAAGGGATGTACAATGAAGCTATAGCATGGTACACAAAAGGCATAGACATCGATAGTACTAATGTGTTTCTGTACAATAACCGCTCCGCAGCTTACCTGATGATTAATAAACCTCTTGATGCTTATAAAGATGCTAGCAGGTTTTTTTCATTTATTTCAGATAAATTACTTACTTTATAGAAGTATCAGTTTAGATTCCCAGAATGTAAAATCTATACTACGTGGTCTAAAATGTTGTCTTATTTTGGGTGATTTAAATGAAGCCAAACGTCTATGTTGTATGGTTAGACAGTTAGAACCAACTAATACGGAATTCTCGTCATTGGTAGTAACTCACTGAGCGTTTACTAACGGAACTTATTTAGCTGCAAAAAATTGAATTACTTTCAGAAACTCACCGATCTTACGAAGATAAATTATCCACATCTGACTTCCGACACGTATAATTTTTCCTATAATGTTAATATTTTTTACGATAGGCTCTTCATTTAATCACAAAGTGTATTGAATTAGCTCCAGCTTCATTAAGTTTCAATTTACAAAGGCTGAGCATTCTCATTCAATTAAAAAGGTTCACTGAAGCCAAGAGTTTGGTTGAGTAAGTTTCTATAATGCAATTAATATTCCTTTCTGAGTACAGAAACTTATTACATTCTCATTCTTCATCAGTTGATCTACTTTTTTATCGAGGCCTGTGCTTGTATTATTTGGATCATTTAGATAAAGCAACTATTCATTTTCAACATGTTTTACGCCTTCATCCAGATCATATAGAAACTCAGAAAGCGTACAAGCGTGCGAAAAATCTCTTGAAATTTAAAGAAGAAGGGAACACATTTATACATGATCACAAATATTCTCAAGCACTTGAAGCCTACACGAAAGCTTTGGAAGTGGATCCTTCACACGATATGATCAACGCAAAATTGTACTGTAATCGTGCTTGTGCTCTATTTTACGTAAGTTTTAATATTACATTTTTCAATTTCTACATAGCTTGATCGTTTTGAGGAAGCCCTAAACGATTGTGATAACGCAATTTCTTTGGAACCAAACTATTTAAAGGCTCGAATCCGACGAGCTAAGTGGTGAGTCAGGTTTGTTTTAATTATTTCACGTTGCCGTATAATTAAATTAGTCAGTCATTAAGTATTTGCTCATGCTACTTAACCGTTGATTCAGTCAGTCAACATCTCGTTAACTTTTCCAATAATCTTAAGTAAACTTGTCGGTTATATTTTTTAACAATCTCACGCCCTACAGTTGTGAATTTAACTGTCTTATGTTGTTCTTCAATCAGCCTTATTAGATTAGATATGGTTCTCGATAAAGACCCTGAACATTACCATCTTAACTACTGTTCGCCCCCAAATGCCCTGGTACGACCGAGAGTGGGGAAAGTCCGCTCTCCCTCTCGAAATACTCTCACATGGCCACGCGTATATAGCCTCTGCCAGGGAAGTCCTACTCACTGCCTTCTCGTGGCATATATACGCATCTTCCCCCTTTCTCTTCTCATTCTCATTGTCTTGTGTGGCGCATATGTATCTGGTGCCCCTTTGTACCAATATGTATGTGTTTAAATAAATAAATAACTACTGTTCCCTTAGCAAACTATGTACATCTTTAATCTATATTAAAATGCATGTTATCTTCATGATTTGATAACTGTCTAGTTAATTAATTATCACTCAGTGACTTTTGTGCTTCTCATCCAAGCATTTCATTATAGACTTGAGTCCTTCTCCCATCTAAGAATCTTTAATTAAATGTACAGTATCATTTGCTTGCATGGTTAGTGCATGAATTTATCAGTAAATTCTAAGTATGTCCTTATGCTTTCGTAGCATTTTACTCTTGATGGTTGCTTCTCATTTTTCTGCGTATCTAGTGATGAATTTCCATTTATTTGATGTTTGATTGTTACATAAGTTTAGTCATTAAGAAGTTTTTATTTATGTACTTCAATTACTGTTAGAATTATCATTCTGTTTTTGTTTAGTAGACTTTGAATTGTGATACCTTTATTCACAGAAATGATCCCTTATTCTAAAAACATAAATTTGTTCTATATTGTATATATAATTATTCTTTATGCAGTTATTCATCTCTTGAAGAATATGAAAAAGCTGTTGAAGAATGGACTGCAGTAGTAAAATTAGACGGATCACGAGAAAATAAAAAATCTTTACAAGCTGCTAAGTCTGCTCTTTCCGTGTCTCAACGTGATTACTATAAAATACTTGGTTTGAAAAAGAATGCCTCTTCCGATGATATAAAACAAGCGTATAGAAAAAGTGCACTTTTATATCATCCAGGTATGGGATTTTAACTTGCCAAATTCATGTATATTATTTATTTTATGTTAAAACGAGGTATTATTTTGAACTATTTTACGTGTAATAATGAACCTATCCACCCTACTACTCAAACTTTAATTGATGGTGTACATCTTGAACTCGTTCACTAATTAATGCTGACGTACTTATAATACAGCTTAATTCAAGCTAGGTAGGTATGCACTGGAGATGTGCAAAGCATTTTATTCAAATAGTTTACTTCTAGTAATTTGTGTGACTTACCTGGGACTCATATATTTCTAATGTTGTAGTTCATGAAAATCAGAATACTTCAAAGTTACAATCAATTATAGAACACTAAAGTACTGTTATACATATGTATTTCGAAATCATATTCTGAATTCATGAGAATAAGCTTTTTATGGGATCATATTTTGTATGATGTTTTCTAGTTCAGTTAACAACTATTTTCCAATAACCTTTACAGTCGCTTTTTAGTGGATACAACTCGTAAGATCTTTTTTTTGAGTGAAGACAAGTAATTATTTATTACCTGTTTTCTTCAATTTTTTCTTCTTTGAAAACCCTGTTGACTTAGCTTTTTTCTTGCTAAGTTTACTCAGTCTGTTCAACTTTTGACCAGATTTTAGTTTTTAAATTGCTTACATTTGAATAGTGTACTCAATAAATTGGTTTAACTAAAATGGTGATATTGAATAATTTCAACTATATATTATCAATTTTTACTGACTTTTTTTACAAACTGATTTCACTAAGATAAAGTAAGGCAATTGACTTATCTTCTATACTCAATTGACTTCGATGACAACTATATGGGATCGCATCCTTTCGGTAATTGATCTCCTACTAGGAGGTCCTCTTATTGACTTAGAATACGCAAATGACATAGTCCTGTTTGGTGAAGACACTGATAAAATGCAGAGTCTTTTGTTAGCACTGAGTAACAATGCCAGGATATTCGGAATGCGTTTCTCTCCCTCTAAATGTAAATTGTCGCTTCAGGACTGGCCTGTGTCAACACCCGAACTAATGATAGGAATTGAAATAGTCGGACGCGTCAATAACCTCATGTATCTTGAAAGTCGGATCAGCCCCGATGGGTTGTCTGAAAAAATCCCAACACTGATTCAAAAAGCTCGTTTGGCTTTTACCTACTTACGTCATCTATGGTAAAGACGAGATATCCGTCTATCAATTAAGGGACGAGTATACTGCGCAGCAGTTCGCTCTGTTCTACTTTACGTCTGTGAAACGTGGCCATTAAGAGTAGAAGATACTCACAAGTTACTAGTATTTGACCACAGATGCTTTAGAAATATTGCTCGCATCTGCTGGGATCACCGGGTAAGTAATAGTGAGGTTAGATACAGGGTATTAGGGAATGATGGTAAATCAGTTGATGAGGTGATGAATCTTCATCGACTGAGATGGTTGGGCCACGTATTACGCATGCCTAACCACTGACTGCTACTGTGCGCAATGCTGACTAGTATTGGGTATGTTTGGAAGAGAGTTAGTGGTAGCCAAACTAAAACGTGGCATCAGTGCTTGAAGTCACTAAATTCTAGTCTAAGTCATGTTGGTAGATGCAGACTACTTGGTTGTGGTCCGTGTGACTATCGTAACCAATGATTGGAGACTGTGAGTGACATGGCTCAGAATCGATCACAATGGTGTAGGTGTGTACACTCTTTGTCTTCCCTTAAACCGTGATATTCAAATTGCTTCATTATCTGTCTTTCTTCCTGTACGATATCCTTATATGCAATGTTTCTTTTATATAATACCACCATCGGTGTGGCGCATATATATCTGGTGCCTTTGTGCACTAATATTTGCGTGTTTAAATAAATAACCATTGAATTATCTACTATGAATTTCGTGTTCATCTTGTTGTGCTAATGAGGTATGGCAACTTGTACCGATCCATATATGTGCCTGTTCCTATGTTGTAGCTGACTGACTGCATTCTTTACATTAACTGTTTATGAACAGGTCAATTGATAGCTAGATATTTGTTCGCCAACAATTTTGTCTATATTGAGTGATTTGATATGTTTTAAAGTATTCTACAAAATCGATGAGATAATTAAATTTCATGAAAATTTATACGTAACAACTTAGGATATGACTGTTACAGATAGTCTAACAAAATATGAACGCCTGTGGAATCCTAACTGACAACTTTAACGCTAGCAAATTTGATATCCTTCTAATGAAGGAGTTTTTAAATCTGGAAGATAAGTTTGTGCCTTTAGAGAATAGACACAATTTACAATCAATACATCTTTGTATTCACTCTACATACAGCCTCTACGTGGTTTTCTGTAATTTATCTCTCGACCCTAAATTATTAATACAGTGAAGATACCTTTAAAAATGTCTTTTTAACACTTCATTATATTTTTGTTTAACTTTCACCAGCAAGTAAAATATATTTAGAGTCCTTATCTACTGAGATTTAAAATCTATTAGCCTTTTATGTTATGAGATCGTGGTAACTCATCTATTAACAATTAGTTCTCATTATATAATAAAAACTAAAAGTATTTTTAACTTAATTAATCGTAATGTGACATTTATATTTTTATTTAGATATTTTATTTTTTCATAGTTGAAATCATGAGTCAATTAAAGCTAGACCACCATGGAAAACCTGGAAGCACTGGACGGCCGTTTCATCCTACTATGGGATTCCTCAGCAAACGGCCGTCCAGTGCTTCCAGGTTTTCCATGGTGGTCTAGCTTCAACTGACTCATGATTTCAACTATGAAAATACTGAAATCTCCACAAAACCCCTTCTGATTATTTTATTTTTCTCAATTAATGATTATCTATTTGATTTTATCATTGATAATGTACCATGTTCTACATTCTACTAACTCTGTAATCTCTGTTTTGTATAATATCATATCACTAACATATAATAGTTGGATTATTTGATTTTCTGTCAATATATCTTACTTACTAACTGTTAGCGATTGTTTCAATTAATGCCCCCAAATGCCCTGGTACGACCGAGAGTGGGGAGAGTCCTCTCTCCCTCTCGAAATGCTCTCACATGGCCAGCGAATATATAGCCTCTGCCAGGGAAGTCCTACTCACTGCCTTCTCGTGGCGGGGGTGTTGTTTACGAAATTGAGAGGACGAAAAGCGAATGTCCGGCGCTTTAACCGGGTTGGTGGACAAGGCGAGTCCACCTAGGGGAGTTGGAAAACCCTGATTCCAAACCAATGGTGCACATGGGCTGGTTTCAGTATCCTGAGGGAAGAAATGGCGTACGAATCAATCGTTGATCACCGGCTACCGTGGGACTGCATCTCCTCACGATGCTCCACTGCCTTGTAGATCAGATCTTTCGGTCAAAGGCTCCGGGTGTGGGCCCCTAAGAAAACCACCTGCTTCAGTTCGGGCACCTGGGCAGTATCACAGCCCTCAAGCAAATCGAAAGAGATTTGTATGGCGCATATGTATCTGGTGTTTCCTTGTACCAATATTTATGTTTCAATTAATCATGTTATAAATTAAAGGTCATATTATTTTCCTTTTCAAAACAAGTGATAAGTTCATTCCTTAACAATTATATCAAGGAATCAAATAAACTTAGTCATAGTATTGAAGGTGAATGCTTTATAAAGATAAAGTTTGTTGTTGTTCGTATTTTAAAGGACTTTTATTATACCAAATAGTTATTCCTTTAAGTTGTGCCTTTCCTACGCAACATTTATATGGACCATGTGATTAGGTTTCTAGGAAAGCTTAATTAGAAATATATTTTGGACTAGTTCGTCTCTTTTATAGCATCTCCATGACTCAGATCTTTCTGTGTATGTCCCCGTGTAGACCATTATGTGCAATATTTTGTCCTTAAAAATCATGAACGTCCGTAACTTATGTCACTACTTTATATGGTGTTACATACATACAGCAACATCACTTCGTAAACGATACTAAGGTTTAATAATGTGTGTGGTATTAAAACGGATCCAATTACTCAGATTTTGTTAACTATTCCAATGGCATCTACGTTAGAAATGTCATTGTTGCGATTAACCAGTAGATTCGCCTAGTAAGGATTCAAAATGTCTGTGTGTGATTATTTTTATTCTTTATTTTCGTTATGATTGTCTAATTTTCCATTCATTTTATATGTGCATTATTCCATTTTGTAATTTTACATGTAACATTTCTTAATGATAATTGTAGCGATTAAAATTTTTCGTTCATATTTATCAAAATCAACTTTTACTTATAAATTTAAATGAAAACCCATCATAGTCACCATCATCAAAGCTCCATTAGCTATGTTAGCTAACTTTTTACACATATTTGAAAAGTTACACTTTTCGAACATAACAGTTTGGTGATTAGTTTAATGTATTAACCGACACCAAATGGATGAATAATGACTTCATCGATATCCCTTTCTTTTCGTATACAATTCTAGATCGTCATACAAGTGCTGATGAAGCTACTGTAAAAGAAAAGGAACGGAAATTTAAAGAGATTGGAGAAGCCTACAGTATATTATCAGATCCTGTAAAACGTCGTCAATATGACAATGGTGAACTGTCGGGAGATGATGCTTTTGGTCAAGGTAAATTGAATTTTTCTGTGGTTAATTGTCGATTCATGTAATCCTACTAATTGCTACATTGTATATCAGTTGTCTGTAAGTTGCTATTGTCTACTATCGTTTCTTGTTCCATTAGTAGTTAGATTAAAACAGACAGTTACAAATGTGTTGTAGTTTAGAGTTGAAAAAGCAACTCTGCAATGATGCTCACACAACTTATTCTAGCCTTCATGGCTTCATTTCGTTTTTATATGCAGTGTACAATCCATAATACATTTTAAAATAAGACATTTTACGCTTATTTTTACATTTGTCGCTCACCAATGAACTTTTTTTCAGTGAACTAATTTATTCCCACACCTTACCACTTAATGTTTGTTCAATTTTAAAATGGCAAGTTTAAAAGTATGATTCACTAGATGTTAGATCTTAGTAAATTGAATGATGGAATTTTTATTTGGTAACACAGTGATGTCTGAACACAGCTTTACGCTTTGTTAAAGTTCACTTTAAGCTAAGTAATCCAACAGATCAAATCATTTTCTAGTTGAAAGCGTTAGTCAATTGAAGCTAGACCACCATGGAAAACCTGGAAACACTGGATGGCCGTTTCGTCCTATTATGGGTGGCCTAGCTTCAATTGACTCACGCTTTCAACTATGAAACATACTAAATCTCCACAAAACCCCTTCTGATAATTAATAAATTATTTTCTGCTACTCCCTTCAGTCAATTTCATTTTCTGTATTTAATCAGGATTTGTCTGCCTATTTTTCTTAAAATACACCTGTAAAGTCATCTAAGTAAACCCGTCTTATTCGTAAATAAAAAAATAGAATGAAGCTTACATAAATTGGTCTGAATTAATTACTGAGTAATTACTTTGTTTAGCCTTTGGGATTCATTTATAAATAATTAAAGTGACACAACCTTGAAATGATTTTTGTTATCTTGTTCTTAAAATAAAGCAATCTGCTATCACATTGCTAACTACTAAATTGTGCATTTGCACCCATCCTTTTATTATTTTGTTTTTGTCCTATAGACCAAGTCCAACATTAAGTCACTCTGTCACAATACAACAGTATGATCAATAAGTTTACTTATCATTTGATACATTAAATAAACTAGTAGTCTGACCTGTAATATTCTACATTTTGAACTGGAATCACGTACCTTTTTTTCTAAAGCCTACATATTAATTTGAGTCGTCAGTTTATAAATAGAACTTTTCTGTGAATGTTTGTAAACGGTCCATCATGATATAAACCGTGTTATGTGAATGTGCTCGTCCTAGATTATATTAAATTATTCATAAGAAAGTATCTCTTCACACCTTATTCCATCAATTAATCAATCAAGAAATCTAAAAATTTGAGTTTATTGTTTTTGATATGACTGTAGAAAACTGGTACTTACTACATGATACACTAAAATTCGTGCAATACATGAGAAAAAGACAAAAATTGATGATAAAAGCAGATTTTCTATGTATTCTCCAAAATACGAAGATCTTTTAAGTTACAATAGGCTCACCACTTTTACTGCTATCGGATGGTTAGTTAATGAATGTAACACGTAACTTAAATGGGGGGGGATACCAAAATAGATTGTATCACAGAATGAATACAAATCCCATACTGTGTATGATATTGAATAAAGTCCACACTAAACTAATATAGCGTAACATTGAAATAAAACGAATACTAAATAGTTGCTCCCAAAAATGCAATTGCATGTTATAGGTGACTGGAGATAATCAGCTTCGTAGGTTACTTGCAATCCAATCAATTAAGACCTTGCTTATCACATCACTTTTTGAAGTTTTACTGTATATTAGTTGAACAATACAAAGTTCCAAGTTTTGCAGATTATTGATTTCACTTCACTAGACCTTATCTATTCATAACTGTAACCATTTTTGAAACTTATACGATAATTTTACTTAAAATGTTTTATCTGTTTTTAATGTATTTTTCCGAAGGAAATGTATCCGCCCACAATTTGTTTACTCAAGTCTTTCCTGGATTTGGAACATCTACAGTACATTTTTATTTTGGTTAATAATCCATACATTGGTGTATACAATTAGTGCCGGAGTTATTCTACATCAGGTTGTAGCTGTAACAAACCTTCCTCTCTGTTTATGTACAAAAATTTGGCGACGAAATACATTGTTTATTTATCACATATCTTTGTGGTTAATGCTTCGCCTCTGTTAGACACATAGTTGTTGATACTAATACTTATACGAGTGTCTGTATGTGGGTGAACAATTTTAAATCGATGATTAACGTAATATCGAAAATGATTTACTGGGTATATTATTTAATTTTAAAATGTTCTTTAATTCATGCATATTCAGTATGCATATATATATATATATATATATATATATATATATATATATATATATATATATATATATTAGAAATTTCGCTCGCTAATAATAATGAAATGAATGAAATAGTCGTTTTTCAAATGTACTGTCAAACTATTTAGTGTTCCTTTTCTCTTTTAAAAGTGATTTTCAATGATAAATGGATTAACTTAATGCTATCAAAATGGTTTTATTCATTTTCTTCCGTTCTTACTCTCTTTCATACTTGTTTTTGGAACTAACTCAATAGTGACTAAATAAATTAACCTTATTCAATAACCCACTTTAAATTTTGATGGTAGGAAAATTAATGTTTCAAGTAATTAGAACCATCTGTCTGTCATGATTTAGAATGCCTACCGATGTTATAAGTAGATCAGTCACTTTTTCTTATGTATACAGTCAGGTGAATAAAACAAACTTCTGTAACGATATTCAATTGGATAACTGAATAATTTTCAGTTAGTCCATATACAAGGTAAAACCTGGCATACTTGCATCTATTCAAAGTAGCATGCAGTATTAGCACAGAAGAATACAATTATCTGAACCGATACCAGAGCGGTAGAAAAGATTACGTATATAAAGAAGAATGCATAAAATCGGTCTCAGTTTTTTAACTGCAATAATACTTAACGTAACTGATACAACTAAATCATGGATAACTCATATATATATATATATATATATATATATATATATATATATATATATATATAGCCCACTGACGGCTGCATTATCATCGAAAATACAGTAAACGTATATGGAATGCAAATGACAGTAATTTATTTATACAATTGTCGGGGATGCTAGGTCCCCAGAAATCACTTGATAAACGTCTTATTTTTGTAATTTTATTCTGGAAATTTAAATTTCTCGTTTTTGCATTTAAAGCGCCCACTATCACCTCCAGTTTGTATTTCCCACTCGGAAGGACCCTAAATGTTATTGGTTCGTTTCCTTTTTTAGTACGTTATTTTGTGACGTTTACCAAGGACCGTTTTGTACTATATATAAATGCTGGAGTTTTGTGTTTGGTTTGTTTGTGTTTCTAGCTGCTTGTGAAATATACCTTCCCCTCATCTGAACCTGGTCTTCTCCCTATAATTTCAGGCCCGGAACTCATCGGAATAGTTGAGCTTGTCTTCTCGTTGCGTTGCTGATCCTTCGTTCCGTTCGCCGAGTTTAGGTGATCTTGTAATCTCTTCAAACATAACAGATCTATGGTGCTGGCTAACTAGATATTTTAATTTGCTACATTTCTAGTTCGATTCCCTATGAGAAAAGGTAGACTTCAAATGCTTAGTAACAAATTTCATTGTATCACAAATATGAAGTTTTTCCCGGAGGAAGTGAAACTATAGCACACAACTTCTACTGAAATAATTTGCTCAATTGTACAGATGCTACTTGATTCCATAACAAAAGTAACGCTTTGGAACTCGTTTAAATGAGAAAATAAATCAATAATTTAAGTGACCTATGTGAATACAGTCTAGTCAGACGTAAATAATGCGACCTAGCTTACGTTGAAGTTGCACACTGCAGTCAATACATATCCTGTATTTTACTACCATGATAACCAGGTAAATAGATTTCCTAAATGGCTTGAGCAAACACACCAATAGGCTACAAAATATACTAGTATTAACCCGTAAAAGAAGCAGACATCTCTTGTCCTTGACCTTCACGAGGAACAGTAGACTTCGACGCTCAATAGCTTGCCTGCTCGATGAATTAGCTAAGGTTCAGTTACATTTCTTGGAACACTAATAAACTGGATAACTGGTATATATTCAAGTAAGCTGGAATCTGCATTAAATGCAAAAGTTAAGACGTTTGTAGTCAAAGCAGTCTGAATGAACGTTTTAAGTTTACATACATTCACTTCGTCATTCCCAGAGTATAACCTTCATAGTTAAAAAATTTGGCATATATGATGCACATTTATTTGGGTCAGCTTACATTTATTGGAGAGCGTGTAGTATCAGTTTATATGTTAGCCCATATACTTTATTCTAGTTAATGGCCAAGCCAATTCGCCTATCCATTATGAGTCATATTTTGATCTTGTTCATTATTCGCTCATTGACCTTGACTACCTTTTTATATGAGCGCATGTGTGTCTACCCTTCGTATCTTATTCATCATATGTCTGTCATTCTTTTTTTTTCTGATTAAAAATATTGAGCAATGCTTGCTCATAGCGAGTTGGCTTACCAGCCATCTCCCATGCATGTCATTTTTGCTTCGTTCGATTTTATTCGCTTCATCACCCTGATTCCCTGGCCATATCAATGAGTGTAGAAAATATATGTATTCTAAATCCATTCTCGTATTTGACTTATTTAACTCCGTTGTTCACCAACGCGGATAAAGTCATTTATTATATACGAGGATAGACAGTACGTTAATTTTAACAACAAACAATCATTCATACGATCAAAAAGCAAATCAGATTTACGGCACTACAAGCGATTTCATGCATGAATTTCAGAAAGTCAAAATTTAAATTCCAACTAATCCACTCAAATTCAGAATAATTATTACATATGATATCGAGCGAAGGGATTCTCTGTAACAATAAAATAACGAGAAAAATATTTTTAACTCGGATTATGAAGCAAGCAAGAAATGCTCTCCTAATTTTGATTTAGAGTGTAAGAAAAATATAATGTTGTTTGTTGACAAAGTAAAAGTATTCTGAAGTATAAAATTATATCATAAAGCGATTAGATTTATAACTAGTGTATTAGAATTAGCGTTTACTGTGTACATTCTTGATCTTAGATTACCAGGAGTTTCCCGATAATCAAGGCATTGAGTTGAGAATCACTTTACAGATAGTTGTTATGTACACATCTGAAGCAATCTAAATCATTATCCATGTGTTTGAAATGCAAACGTTCGTTAGTGGGGAATAAACAGTTAATACAGACGACTACATAATCGCGTAAGAAACGTTAGTTAGAAAATGTGACAGGTGATTATGATAAACTGGTATCATGTGTCTTATTAATACATATTCCATCTACTATGAATAGAACACTTTGTTCGGAACAATAACAAAACTGATTACTGATATGGGTTTGTGGAAATTTTCGTGTAACCTGAATACCACGTCTCACTACAAACTGATTTTATTGTTAACCAACAAGTAATAAACAGTGGTTTCGTTCCACTTAGGGAAATGCCACTAGCATACACTCACGTTTCTATACTCACTAGAATATGGGATGCTCAGAGTTCATAGCGAACAAGACATCTCTGAGATGGACAACGGAATATAGATAACATCAGATGGTGATTACGAAACATCGAAATCTAGTTGAAGTTGGAAATGCTGACCTTAGGATCTCAATTGTTTATCCCAACGAGATGGTGATACTTCACTGTTGGCAGTTAGATTTTCTGTGTGGTCACGAGTGAGCGCTGATTAAGAATCTCGAATGAGAACAAAGTGTCTACCCAATCATTCATTTAGTGTCTTTATGTTATAACAACTGTTTTCATATGAAATAAGTTCCCACAAACAAACTAACCGAAAATCGGTTCCTGAACCATAGGTTAGAATGATTCAGATGAATGAGTATGACATGCATAATCTTCCTTGGACTTTCACTACTCAGATACTTTTTTCCATTTACTGAGATGATTGTTAATCATGAAATATTTACTTGTCATTATGATTAAGTTATTGACTGATAAATCACTACAGCGACTGGTGACCATAGAACATCTCGGAGAGGTTGGTGAAATGACAATGTTTTCTACAAAGTCAGGCATTTACTTTCGACTCAATAGTTATACGTAGTCGTTGTATTAGAAAGTATGGAGAATGATTTGTTAATAACTTCGTTTTGGATGTAATTTCTTTAAATATTTAATTGACCGAAAGCAACTTGTTTTTCAGAGTCTACGAAGACTGATAGTAACCTAATGATCATATGTAAAATTATTAAACACTATTTTATTTTTGAGGTCTTGTATTTCCTCGTTGTTGGCATTCAGAACGGAAGTTGACTGGTTAATAGTAACTTCATTGCTGTCGAACAATTTAGTGGTTATGTGAACTCAATAGTTTAGTTGACGTTTGAAGTGGAAGATATTGATTATGGGTCTTAGTATGAACACTAACTTTGACCCAGGTATATCTATTTGATGAGTCACGAATACGACGAAACACTGATTGTGCTTGACTATTGTTAGCAACAATCCCAAGATTTACTGAACCATTTTTCTTCTTCTTTACAAGACATTTCACACCGAACAAGAGAGACTGTTTTTACTGTACCTCATATTGATAATAAGTAGTTCGTTTCACAATTCTCTCATAGCACAAATACTAAGTTTTACTGGAAGAAAGTGGTTTTATGGTATATAGTTTTTCGAATGGCGTAATTTTGCAAATATTATTTGATTCGGTAGCAAGAGTAAGCTGAAGATGACGTGGAATGCTGTATATATGAAACAAATATTCTTGGTACATTAAAACCATGGTCAACTGGTATATTTCAGAAAATAGTAAGAAAAATAAATTTATTTGAGAAAATCAAACTTCGTATCCTTAAAGCTGTTCAATGTTTAGATCCAACAGTAAATCATTTACAATCAAACTCCAAATTCTTCTTTATCGTCCACGTCCTGGACTTCGCCCACTGTTTGATCTCCTCTTGCCTATCAATGAAAGAATATATTGTTTAGTAGGAATACTAGTAGATTTTGCATTGTGCACAAACTGAAAAAGTGATAATGTTTTCTTTTATGCTGCTGAGTTAAAAAGTGCCAACGGTCTGTTAGCTTAAATGTGCACTGTCATTTAGATCTTGTCGCGTTGATGACTGCTTAAGTTAACTTACTAACTCTTGTTAACTAATTGTATCTATCCTGATTTGACACACTGAACAAACAGTTTTTAATTAAATTCTTTTTAAAATACAACACGTCACAGAGAAATAACTTGCCCTCCTGTTTATATGCTTACGACAATTTCGTAGTCATACAATATCGCTATTTATAGTTTGGAGAACAGTGTCAAAAATATTAACATCACATATATAAGCGATGTTCAAGAATCTCTGAATAAAATAGGTAGTGAGTTATGTGACAGATTTTTAAAGGTAGATTACACAGACTTAAAAAATCTAATAAATCCACACTTATTATTACGTACAAATTAGATAAGAACTAGTACTTCGTAACTTTTCATCTCTCAATTGCTAAAAATCTCAATTCATGTAGTATGTTTATTAAACTTGATATTGTAAGGAAAAGATTTCATTTCCTATCACAGAGTTTATATCAGTAATCTCAGATGAACTAACAAATAATGGTGTTGTATCCCCTGGCGAATTATGAATCATAAATCTGATGTCCATTTATGGACAAATGTAATACGCCTATTCCTATTGGATAGTTGTTAAATGAGTAACCTAAATCTGATGTCTATTTATGGACAAATATAATATGCCTATTCCCTATTGGATAGTTGTTAAATAAGTGACCTAATCGTTCCGTGTTCCTCTTATCATAACCTTTATTTTGACCTTGGAACTATTATTATTGATTACTTTCCCCCTAGCTACAGCCACATTGGCCAATTACTGTACAAATGTTATTTTTCTATTTTTTGGTATAATTGGGTCTGTTTGGTTAGTATATATAACCCAGTGTGCTTGTGATTAATGATTCATATTTCCGAGGCTGTTATTTGTGTTCTGGACTCAACTGGCTGGGCTAGGCAGTTAGGAAGGACCGAATAGCAATCAAGACTGCTCGTACGTATTTTCTGTATCATTGCACGTTTCATATACAATAACGAATTGTTATACGAGTCATAACAAATGGTCTCATTGAGACAGAATTGTTTTGATTCTTTGAATTAATGATGTGTTAATCGATTTAAATATTATGTAAAATATTTGTTTATGTCGTCTGGTAAAAATGTTTACCGTATAAGTGTTCACATAAAAAATTTATGTTTACCTAGTGATTGTTACAATCCACCCCGACGTGTTAATTAATACATAATTAAAAAAATACGTGTTAAAGACAACAACAATAGGTTGGTTTGAAAAAACTGACCGCACAAACAACAACATGTGTCATTACGGCGTGGTGATCGCGATGCCCATCGATTTGGGTATGGGGATGCACCCCTGCTGGTAGGCGTTCCACTCCGACTAGGATTTCCTGGTTGCTGTCGAACAACTTGGTCTTTCTGTGGCATATTATAAAAGTTTATTTGCATATAGACTTTTATATACTTGGACTTCGAGTGCACGAACTAGTTATCCAATCAAAGATGTTTCCAACTAATTTATCAAGCTGGGTGATGTACTTTACAAGTATCCATCCATTTGTGAACGAATCTTCATAAAATTGTTAGCTTTTGTCCTTGGTAGGTTACTTTTCACCTGGTGAAGGGTACTTAATGACTAAAACTCCTAGTGTACCAATTGCAAGTAAATCCGATCACATGACAACATCGTTAGTTCAGGTGAACCATTCAGGAAAACAACTGTTTTATATAGTAACTTTGCCTTGATTATTGCAATTCAATAAGCAAGTAGATAGGTCAAGGAAAATCCATAAATAAAGCCATGTTTTCTCAAATATATCTACTGAAAAATCTAAGTGGAGTGGTGGATTTGTGGCTAAAGAATTCAGATTTCAACTATTAGGTGACAGGTTAGAACTCCACTTCACCCACTTTGATTTTAGATATCGAGTAATGGTTGAGTTCCGTAGCTTCTTCTCGAAAACCCAAACCAGTTAGCAAGATGAATTTAGGAGATATTTTGGTTGAGTAAATGAACTGAAGTTAGTCATAATTAGAAATAGGATAAACAAAAGCAGTGATAGGAACTGCAAGAGACTTGTGATGATTAGCCAGAGTAATCAGTTAAATGAAGGAGTTAAATTTCTGTCAAATAGGAAGAGAGAGATCGGTAAATCTCTCGTGAACACATCTGAGCAAACGTTCCAGAGTTTTAAATAAATAATATATTTGTAATATCCCATTGAGTAGACGTTTCGTGACTCAGTGTAAGCCACTTCTTCAGAGAATAAATAACCAAATTAACATTAATCGAAGTTTAAATAGTACAACGGAACAATCCAAGAATATTAGGTGATCAATCAAAAACAGGTCTGAATAAATCACTGTCACGTCATTTCATTTCGGTCAAGGTGATTCATAAGCGACATGTATGTAATTTTGTGTGTATGTATGCACTGTTAATAATGAAAACTGTGTGACCTTTATAATTACAAAACGGATAAATACACTTTCATCTCACATCAAATTCACGAATGAGAATAAAAATGAACATGGAGAGCTACCGTTCTTAGATTGCTTAGTGAAAAGAAATATAAATGGAGTTCTAAATTTATCCATCTACCGAAAGCCTACACACTCTAATCGTTACATCGACTTCCATTCAGCACATCCTTTCAGTGCTAAAATTTCGTTAGCCTTAAATCTTGTTAGAAGAGCCAACAAGATCATCTCTTCAGAAGAGGACAAACAAAAGAATATAATTAGCATCTTACAATTTAATAATTTTCCTATGAAGATTATTAGAACTATATTAAAACAAGACAATTCAGTACGCAATAATAATTCGAATGAAATGCCATGGATTGGTACTGCAGTCTTACCATACCGTCATGGCACAACTGAAGAACTCCAACGGATATTAAGACAACACAGAATTAAAGTATATTACAAAACAACTAACACACTCTGAAATACTTTAGTTCGATTAAAAGAAAAAATACCATTCATATCTACACAGAACTGCGTCTACAAATTAGGTTGTGTCGATTGTGATGCCTTCTATATTGGAGAGTCATCTCGCGAAATCTTAACTCGCGCTAAAGAACATATCAGGTACACAAAGAAACCACCTAATAATCCTGTAGAATTAGAAAGACTTCAGATTAAATCAGCAATAGCAGTTCACGCCATTTTCAACGGTCATCAAATTGATTTCGAAAATATCAAAATACTACAGAAAGGTTTTTCTAACTACAAAGAAAGAAGAGTAGCTGAAGCTTTCCATATAATGCTTAATCCCACAGCTCTCAATAGAAAGGAAGGCCTTACCATACAGCCTACTTGGACCATCTATCCTAGTCACTCAGTCTGATATTATTTACAATTTCACACCATTACATTACAAATCAAACTCTATCCTTTGTAATTATAAAGGTCACACAGTTTTCATTATTAACAGTGCATACATACACACAAAATTACATACATGTCGCTTATGAATCACCTTGACCGAAATGAAATGACGTGACAGTGATTTATTCAGACCTGTTTTTGATTGATCACCTAATATTCTTGGATTGTTCCGTTGTACTATTTAAACTTCGATTAATGTTAATTTGGTTATTTATTCTCTGAAGAAGTGGCTTACACTGAGTCACGAAACGTCAGAAAATCTAATTTTTCTACTCATTGGGATATTACAAATATATTATTTATTTATAACAATCTACCCAATGCTCAATTTATTCAAAGTTTCCAGAGTTTGTTAGTATTAGGAATTCATAGGAAGTTATGTCATTCTCAGTTGGAAATCATTGCTTTTGCTTAAGAGAACCAACAAACAGACCTGAAACTTGCATTTCCCATGTTGACATTTGCTTTATCATCATCGAATACGTTACGTTTTAATTTCACCTTGTCCACTGCTTCCAAAGGTTGCGTAAAATCTGTGTGTGCAGAAGTAATGTAGATATCATTGACAAGGTGTGTTACTTGATGATTTCCAATAAATTGAACATTGAGTAGATTGTTGATGTTAGAAATAATGATATATTTGTCATATCCCAGTGAGTAGAAAATTAGATTTCCGACGCTTCGTGGCTCCGTGTAAGCCATATATTCTGAGAACATAATTAAACAGACTAAATTAATACAAATTTAAGTAGTATAATAGGGTTGAGCGAAAATATTTCGTTCGATCAAAAACAGGTCTGGTTAAGCCAATATCATGTCTCTCCAGTCAGGGTGATTCTCCTGAGACATTCCTGTCTATTTGTGTATATGTTATGGGTGTGAAGGACATGTCATTTGCGTTGTATAGAAGTAATGTCCAGTAAAAATGCCTTATCTACAGAAATCGATAAGTCATTACCAAAAGACTAGTCTTCTTTCTATTCCTCATACGTATCAAGACGAAGGTCAAATAAAAATAGAGAAAACCATAGAGGTAGTTCACCATTCCTATAGTATTAAGTGAAAAAGATATCAGACTGCTGAGGCTTCACGAAATTCGAGAAGCTTGAGTTTGGTTATTTGCTGAGTTGACCTAATGTCTCGTGTCAATCGGATTCCGATAAATCTCACTACTTAATGCCTATTTCATGTTTCCTGAAAAATGGTAGAATAGTCTAAGTTAGATTCATCCTTTTACTTTGCTAATGAAACTACTGTGGTAAATAGGAACCTAATGAAATAAAAAGAATTTCTGCTGTTTTGCTAAAACCATTACTTTTACTCATTTTATTATTTTCATAATGAGAGGATTTATCTTATATCTAGTTGATTCTTGGAGAAGCATAGATCTGTATTTGTTTCCTAACTATTATCTACATTTACATGAAGACTTTGAACAACCATACGTTGCTTGGAAAATATTAGGTCGTAGATTAACCTTTCCTAGGCCGCATAATGAATATTTTAAAATCACTTATTTAAATAATTCCTCTCCTGTTTGTGTATGCAGTTTGCTACACGTTGAACTTTTGCCCCAAACTTATGAATCTCAATGAGAGTTGGAACTTCTCAATACGTGTTGTGGTTTGATGGTATAATTAAGTGAATGAGAAATGTTTCTTGAACGAAGACGTTATACGAATTCGTGGGTGATTATCTAACAGAGAATATAGTATACGCCTTCACACGATAACTTGCCCCAACTCAATAGAGTCAAAAATAAGTCTCTTTCACTACCTTATCTTGATTCGACTATTTAGTATATTTTGCCTCATCTACTTGTTCCGTGTAATTATAAATAAATCTGAGACCAACAGTTAGATTAACTAAGAAACCTGAAACTGACCATAATTCACACCAATTTAAACTAGGCGAGATGTATTTACAAACACCACATAAACTTATCAGTACTGTACTAATATTTAATTAAGGAGAGGGCATAAAGTCCTACTCACTTTATTTTTATTCGTAAAAACCTAGAGGACCCTCTATTATCTCATTTATCTAGTATTTGATACTGCTTATTTTTGACTTATCTACAACTGAGATATGCATAATCTCCACATTCTAGTTTAGTTATTAGATAGATCTCGTTTAAATTAAAACGAGACAGGTGTCAAAACTATTCTATATCCAACTATTTGCTGATTGCTATCAGTCTGTAGTGAGAATAAACTGCAATGATCAAAGGAATTTAATTTCAAAAACTGTTTGCAACAGAGATGAAATTTCCGTTATGTGTGTAAGACCAAAATCATGAAATTGTCATGAGAACCGCCCTCCTAAAGGGTTCAATTAAATTTTTACTTGTATAATATCGTCAACTGTCTTAGATTTAAAATATGTTCAGAACTAATTGGAATTCTAATAATCCTTATTAGATAAAGACTAAATGTATGAAAATCTATTGGTTGTTCTTTGGTGAATAAGTTTTTCTTCTACATGTTTAAGGAGCATTTATCGGATAGTTGTTTTAGGGTGCTTTATGTAGTCCAAACTCTAAATTGTCTTTTAAATTAATGATTATTGTTTGTCTTTTACCACTCAAAAATTACGCTTCGTTAAATATGAATGGACTTTTTAATTTTGTAGACAAAATGTTCTATCGATTCACCTAATGCGATTTATAAATAGTGAGACGTTGCGATTACGTATTTTCCCGTCTCAATCATGAGATGCAAAATGAGAATAGTCAGAATTACCTTTGGCTGTTCACTTGGGTTTCTCCGTTTGTGGTTAACATATCAAATGAGTTTAGTAAACACTGAATAAGTCTTTTTCAGTTATTAAATATGTGATCTCTAATGCATCGATTTGTCTTCTCCTCTTAGATATAACAACGTTGTTGTATTTAAAGTCCAAGTTAAAGTAGATTAGCATGTTTATAAATAGTTTCAACTGGCTTATCGTCTTCTAAGCAATGTTCTCTAACAACTCATCTTTGTCGAGCATTTATCTACAAACAATTCTGAGCGAATTTATACGCTAAATTGGTGATAGCTGTAAATTCGCTCTTCGTCTGCTTCATCCTTAAAATATCAAGCTAGCTTTGCCGAAATATAAGTACGATGGATATTTTCAGTTTCAGTTTGGAAAGGACAGGAGGCTTGATGGCCTGTGTTAGTCCTGGCAATGATGGTCTCTCAGCTGACCCAAATTTCTTTTGAAGGAGTCGACGGATGGAGCCTCAACCACGTGATGAGGTAATGAATTCCACTTGTTGATGTTTCGATGAGGAAGTCGGTAGTCAGCTGACGAGTAATTCGTTCTGGTCTTGTAGTGTCTGTCTTGGTCTTGGAGTGTCCTCGTAGATTTTTTGTTTTGGAAGACAAGAAAAGTGAGGGCATATCAGGTGCAAATTTGTCACTAAGCAATTTGAAAAGTGTGATCAAGTCGCCTCTGATTCGTCTATATGACAGCGGGAATAGGTTTAGCTTGGTCAGTCTAGTACCATACGGGAGCTTCGCTGTTCTGGGAATCAGCCCAGTTGCTGTTCTCTGAATCATTTCCAAGAGTTCACTGTCTTTTTTAGGCAGGGGCTAGCTGCTTGTTTGCAGTACTCAAGTTTAGGACGTACGAACACTGTATACAAAGTCATAAACGTTTTAGCGTCGAGTTGCCTAAACGCCCTGTGTATGGACCATAAAGTCCTAAAACCTTTGGCAGCTATTGCACGGTAGTGTTCAGTAGTTTTTAAGTCTTGACTAACGATGACGCCTAAGTTATTGTGTACCTGAACAATAGGTAACTCAGTGTTATTCATCGTGTATGTTTCTGTACCCTGGTGGCCAATATGCACCACAATACACTTGGAAGTGTTTATCGGCAATTGCCAGGTTTGGAACCATTCAGATAATCTCTGCAGGTCATTTTAAAGTTCTAAGCTATCGCCCTTGCTTTGTATCGCTCCCCATATCTTGACATCATCAGCATAGAGTAAGACCGATGACGATAGTAGACGAGGGAGGTCATTTACGTACAGGAGGAATAACACTGGCCCCAAAACTGTACCCTGGAGGACTCCACTAAGAACAATTTCCCAGCTAGACAACTTGGAGTTCACCCTTACCCTTTGTTGACGCCCAACTAGAAAGTCTTTTATCCACATCAATAGATTGCCTCCAATCCCGACATTCCTTAGCTTATACAACAGCCGGTTATGCGGAACTTTGTCGAAGCCTTTGCTGAAATCTATGTAAGCTACGTCTATAGGTAATTTTTGGTCCTTAATAGCGCACCAGCTTTCACGAGCGACTAATAAGTTTGTGAGACAAGAGTAACCTGTTCTAAAATTATGCTGCTTTTCGGAGAGGATCCAGTTTTCATCGAGATACTTTAACAGCTCCTTCCGAATAATCTTTTCTAAGATTTTGACAACCACACTAGTTAGGCTAATTGGTCGGTAATTCTCAGGCTTATGTTTTATACCAGTTTTGAAGACTGGACTTACTATGGTGTTCTTCCAGTCTTTTGGTAGACGACCCTGGGTTACGGGTAGATTAAAACATACACTTAAAGGGTTCGCAACAAAGTTAGCTAATTCCTTGATGCACGTCTTACTGTACGAAGCTGAAACGTGAAGAACTACTACATCCATCGTTAAGAAGTTACAAGTATTTATAAACAGTTGTCTAAGGAAAATACTCAACATCCACTGGCCAGATACTATCAGCATTAACCTTCTGTGAGAGAGAACAAACCAGCTTCCATCTGAAGAGGAAATTAGGAAAAGACTTTGGAAGTGGTGGATGTGACATACATACAGAAAATCACCAATGTGCATCACGAGGCAATCCCTAACTTGGAATCCGGAAGGGAAGCGGAAAAGAGGAAGGCCAAAGAACTCACTAAGCCGGGAAATAGAAGCCGATATGAAAAGGCTGAATAGCAACTGGAAAGAACTGGAAAGGAAGGCTCAGGACAGAGTTGGATGGAGAATGCTGGTGAGCAGCCTATGCTCCTCGACTAGGGGTAACAGGCGTAAGTAAGTAAGGATGATGCAGAACCCAGGTCGTACCTAGTTGCTTCCTTCACGTGTTGCACTAGGGCACATGTGATTACCGCATCAACTAGTTCCTGTTCGAAGGAGTTTTCTGATGATTCAGTCCGCAGATTTCCCCAATCCACCATGGGTGCATTAAAGTCCCCTAGGATTAGACATCGATCACTTCGTGATAAAGTGTTGAGACTGCTTAGCAGGACCTCGTTTACCTCACAGCTTGGACTGCGATAGATCAAACTAAGCGGCAACTCTTGTCCCCTGCATTTCAGGCGGCAGCTGACTAATTCACACGTCCCACTCTCATGGGATACACTGTCGATAATGGTGAATGGAATAGCATTTCTAATGAATAGAGATACTCCCCCTCCTTTACGCGTTTGTATTCTATCGGCCCTTGCTAATGTAAAACCCTCGAAATCATGTTCCCTACTATCTATAGACGGCGTCAGCCATGTTTCTGTGACTGCGATTATGTCTGGCCTAGTTGAGTAAATCTGTACACCTAGTTCCGGTAGCTTATTGAGTAAGCTCCGGGTATTGGTATAACAGATCCGAAGCCTATTTGAGTGGCCTCGTGCTTCACCCAGAGTGGCTTCGTCGTCACCCTCTGCCGAAGCCTCACAACCTAAAAATTTACAATTTTCAGGTCTTTTTCGCCAGCGTCTAATCTGAGTTGTAGTTCTTTTCCGGCTTCCTGTCTTTTTACACGATCCGCCAATTGTAAGTCCTTATGGAGAAAAACTGCTGAACCCTTTTATTTGTGTCTATTTTCTAAGATTAAGTCGCGTTCGTTTGAGGATTTGAAAACGACTTTGAGCAGTCTAGACTGATTAGGCTTCAGATGCGCCAGGTTTCCTAGTCTATGCACCTTTAGCAAGGTGACTCCGGAGATGTTTTGGGGCATAACTTGGTTGAGTAGTTGTTTTATCAACACAATGTCGTGCTGAAAACGGTTCTGAGCTCTCACTCTCCTTGACTCTATGGAAAATGACTGATCTGTCGCTGTGATCAGAATTCGGCTTTTCGACATTTTT